CGAGGAGGAGCTCTGAGTCCAGGTACCTGAGCAGGGGGTAAGAGGACAGCAAGCAGAGCTGTCTCTGAAAGCCACATGGCAGGAGTGCACACATTATCTCCATGCTCGCATCCTATCATTTCCATGTGCCTCAAATACAGTTCCAGAAAGCCGAAGAATCTATTTGGCCATTAACTCTGAATCCGGAAAAGAAAGTGGCAGCTAGTAACATCCAGGGAATACCTAAAATTTTCCATTGTTTTATTCAGGAGTGCTTATGTCTGCTCTCCTAACTTGGGCTTATTCCTAATATAAGGAAAAGTATAGAAATCAGGATTTAAAAAAAAATTAAAGCTTATTACTTTGGGAAAAACCTGTCAGTAAAAAAATCTGATAGAAGTACATGGCAAAAAGAAGGAACGCTCCCCACTTTCTGGCCGACACAGCATGTTTTCCCCATAAAATGTATTTTCAAAAGCTACCTGAGTCTGCCATCTAAGACAAACTACTTATAAACAAGCTCCAAAACCTCTATCAGGACACCGACATTTTCATTAATTATTTTACAACAGAAATGAGAGGCGGCAGAGCCAGGAGAGGCCAGAGGGGAAGACATCTCAGGGTGAGGGAAGGGGAGACGAAGAGCCGGAGTGCGCGGAGATATGTAAAGCCCGCAGCCCCTCACAGGATATCCTGCTCGCACGGCCTGCCTGTGCCCTGGAGGGCAAGATAAGATTCGTGAAGAAGCAAAACTTCAAATGTCTCCATCTCACTTCGGCAGAAGCCTCTCTCATGTACCATACTCAGTAAAGTAGCATAATGGAAGCAGGTTGTCAGCCACGTAGTGTCCAGAGATGAGGCCAAATTCAAATGTCTGCTTCGTATCGACTCTTAGAAGTCAGAATTAATCAAGAATCACCTTGAAAGTTAGGGAGGCACTGCGGAAAGTCTGGTGTATTAAAGGATATGAAAGTGCATAACCCTCTAAAACAGCGGTTCTCAACCTTTCACAGGGGTCGCCTAAGACCATCGGAAAACACATATTTTCGATGGTCTTAGGAACTGAGACACTGCTCCTCTATCCTTCTCCAGGCCCACATGCAGATACGTCCACATACGAGCACCCGGCGACCCCTGTGAAAGGGTCGTTCGACCCCCAAAGGGGTCACGACACACAGATTGAGAACCGCTGCTCTAAAACCATCTACTATTTATTTTTTATCAATGCTCTTTAATCGGTGTAATTTTACATACTATGTACTACTCAAACCTTAATAAACCTTTCTGTCTTCATTTTCTATAGCTGCCAACCAGGAACTGAAAAACTCCATTATAATTTTATAGAATTGCTCAAAATATAAAGATATAAATAAAACCAGAGAAGGAAAGGATGACTGCTGCAAAAGGAAGAATGCTATACTTTCAGATAGAAATATGCCATTTGAAACATGCACTCACTCATGACTACAAAAGAAACACGATATCCATTATGTGTCATCATAATTTATTATCAAATGAGACTCAAAATAGCATCTCTACCTCTCATCCCAGAAAGTGAGCAGATTATTACTAACTCAACTAATATTAATAGCCCCACATCAATAGTAACTGTGAACTAAACACAATAGCAGCTCCCCTGCCATTTCTTTGTCCTCCAGCCCACCACTAACCTATCTTTAAAAAGAAAACCTCTCACCCACATGCTCTCTCCCACCTGAATATGTAGGTATATCCCACACAGTGGGAGTGTTACATGTAAATTAGCAGAATGTCTGCTCTTGACACATAATGGGAGCTGAGGAAACTTTTTGATTTGAGCTTCCATAGCCTTTATGGTGGCTTTTAATGAGTTATCACTCTATTATGAAAGCCCTGCTTTAATCCATCTTGAGAACATTTAAAACAACCTCCCACACATAAAATATCTACAGCAGACCAGCAGAAGAAAAAAATGTTGTAAATAAAAGCAAAACTGTCAATAGCGCTGAATTAAAACAAGGTAGGACCTCTGTCCAAACAACAAAAAAACACCTTAATGGTCGACAATTTAGATTCTGAAGAATATATAATTTTTTTCTATTTGGCAAATCTTTCCTGTCTCCATGCTTCTATTTCTTAAAAAAAAAAAAATCTACTTGAACACTTAAAGCCACCTGACTTTATGTGTAAGTAAAAACAAAAAGAGGGGCCATGGCTGGACAACCACTATAGCAGGCTGGGAGATTTCCTATGATGCCCGGCATCTAGGAAGAATTTCTGTGTTTTAAAAAGCAGATTGGTACTGTCACTGCTTTAAAATGTTTAGTGCTTCAATGACCCCACATTCCTTGGGCAAGTGTTACATTGCTCTTTAAGGGGACTTTCTTACTGATGGAGTATTTGGTAAACAAAGGCATGGTCTATATATGAGAAGAATATAAACAGCTCCATCTCTATGAACTCATCTGTCTACTATGTTATTAATTTGAGAAGTAGTGGAGGAAATACCCTCGCGGCCCTGTGGGGTGAAAGAATGAAAGGTAAATCCAAGGTTTGTGCAACTGACTCTCTTCTCACTAATGGGGCCGGTGTCATTTATAATGGATCATCAAGGGAGTTTTCCTTCCAATTGTTGCTTTCTTTTCTGTTTCCAAGCTGCATTTTCAGTTCAACAAAGCCGCCCTGACTGCCTTCGGATGATGGTCGCTGATGTCTATGAAGGAAGTCACTGTCTGTCCCAGATACATATCTGTCCATACTGTGAGCTGGTCCTCCAGGAGCCAGGAACTGACATGCCCCATCAGTAAAGGGCAGGGAGAGCTCTTCTCTGACTCCGGCCTAGATTCTCTGGCTAAAGAGAAGCCACTCGAGAGCAGGCTATCAGCTCTCTATCCTCCGAGAATACCTGGAGAATCCAGGCAGTCAAGGACAAGAGAAAAAGGAAACAGAAAGATGCACTCCTCTTGAACAGAGAGACAGAAACTGCTTCTCCCTCATCTCATGAGTGGCCGCACACAGGACTTCTCTCCATAACTCAGCCAGGAACCACAGGGCAGATACTGGAACTACTGCTGTTTTACTTCAGTAGGCCTCACTTTTATTTCTCTCAGTAATAAAAATGGTTTATTCTAAGAGTTTACAGAACAAAGACATATGACTTCAAAACGGCATTAATGCTTAACATTTTTTGTTGGGGAAAGTTGTTCCTTGTGGGCATGACCTCAAAACGTGTCCAAAGTACCTCTCCAACCTAAATAATTTTACAACTTAATTGTTTTTAACTTAATGAATCAATGACAAACACATATTTGTTTTAAAAAGATGAAAATAGCATTCACTTTGAAATGGTAAATGAGAATCCAAAGAGCACATTAGGAAGAATCTACTTTTTTGCCTTCTTTCTTCCTGAAATGAATGTGTTTTTGTTATTTATTCACCTAGCTGTGATGCAATAATCACTGTTTTCACGGTTTCCTTCAGCATGGGGTAATTGAAACTGTCAGTGTTCTTTTGCTGTCTTGTGACAAGTGCTTATTATGGTTGACTAATGCACTTCATAGAAAACCAGCCCCCAGCTATAGTCACAACGTGGGGGGCTAGACCCCAAGAAAATCAGCCATGTAGGTCTGCTCTGCTCGAGACTGGGGCAATTAAGGGAATACTCTCTGATGCCACAGGAAAGCACCTTCAGGACCTGGAAACCTAGGCGGTTTTGAGGTGGCAGGTCGCCAACCGAAACACTATGAGAAGCAATTGACTTCTAGACACTGCCAACCTGCTAGCCTTAAACTCCTCGTGGGCTATTTCACTAAGCCCAGCCCAGTTCACCTGCCCTCTCCTCCAAACCAGTGTCAATCCCACTAATCTTTACGGTCACTTGTGTCAAAATTGCTTGTACTCAAAAGCAGCATTGCTGATGATGTGTGAGTAGGAGGGGGGGCCAACAGCAACCCACCGGAAGAGACGCAAAATCTGCCTCTCCTCAGGAACGCGTATTTTCTGGCTGTGACTTCGCCTGTCTTCCTCTTGGGCTGTCTAGCATCTTGGTACAAAGGGAGACATTTCATTTTGACTACATCATGCCCAACATCCACTGCTGTCCTTTCCAGCAATCACTGCTCTCAAACAGCTTCAATCTGCCCCAGAAAGCTCTTCAAAGACAACTGAAGACCGTTCTTCATTGACGATACACCAACTTTTTATTAAATCTCAAGGCTTTGAGAAAAACTTGCGTCTGGTCCTAAGGATTAGTAGTATATGGGTGGGGGAAGGAAGGGAACAGGTAGTGGATATTAAAAATGACAGGTGTGGGGCCGGCCGAGTGGCGCGATGGTTAAGAGCTGGCTTGGGATGCCAGAGGGCCCCGGTTCAGATCCCACATATGAGGGCCAGTGACACTGCCCTCTATAGCTAAGATGCTGAACAACAGCTCAACCTGGAGCTGGGCTGCCGTGAGTCGCCAGCGACGGCGTAGGCTGCAGCCCTTGCTGCAGTGGGTTGCCATGGGCTACCGTGTGTAGCCAGCAGCCAGCGTGAGTGGCCAGCAGCCGCCGTGAGCGGCCGTCCAGAAGCCGGCGACTGATCTGCCTCGGCCGGGAACAGCACAATGATGGTGCCAACTTGGGCCAGTGAAGCAACGTCCTCCACAACTAGACTGAAGAACAAAACGACAGCAACTTGTCTGTTCCCCTTCCCCCAATTCCCCAGCTCTGTTCCCATCCCCCCAATTCCCCAATAAAAAAAAAAATCTAAAAAAAAAAAATGACAGGTGTCATTCCTCCTCTTCTCCTTCTGTGCACCCTTCAAGGTCCACATGGTCTTTTTTCTACACCATTTCCTTACTCAGTACACATTTCCGATATTGTACCCAATACACTATGGTGGAAATTTTTGTTTACATGTCAACTTCACCGACCAGATAGTAAACTCCTGGAAGGAAGGGGCCATGGCTTATTCATCTCTGTTTCCCCAGCACCTGGGCCAGGTCAGGGCATGTAATGGCTTAATGAGCCTTCCTCCATCTCCCAGGCTGAGTTAGCCACTCCCTCCTCTATAGTACTTTACATTCTATGTAGACCTTTAATAATATGGTCAGCACATTATCAGAATAGGACCTATGCCTTTTACATCTCAATATCCCCAGAACCTAGCTAAAGATAGTCGTAGGTGGTTCGTGAATATTTGTTGTGGGAAATACTGCTGAAGAGTCAGATGTGGCCAGATAATGGCAGACTCAGTAGCTCAGGCACTACAAGGTCACGGTAGATTTTCACCACAGGGAGTGATCTGATAAAAAGCAGAGTTTTAGCAAAATGCCTCTAGGCAGCCATAGGCCAGAAGAGTAGACTGGTGTGGAGAGAGATGATGGCAGTGCAAAAAGCCAAGAGCTGCTATGCTAAACTGGGCAAGTGATGGAAAGAGCTGTGCTCCCCAGTGAATAGACCGTGGTCAGATGCTGACACTACTTCTGCCAGCTGGGTGATCACAGAACCTCCCTGGCACAGAATCACTACCTCACATGGTTGTAAGGATTAAGTGAGGGGAACATGTAAAGTACCCACCATATTGCCTGGCACGTAACAGGTACAGAAATGTTTGATTTATGCATATGCCCCACACCTTCCTTAATTTTTTCAAAACACGTGGATCTCATAAGAGTATTGCAAACAAGGCATACGCCTACCTGGACAAGCAGAAGGAGATTTGTATCTGGTAATGGAGATTTCAGCTTCAGGGCCTGCAGAAGTTCTAGAACAACACTACGGGACAAGTACAATTTATCCCGCTCCTAAATAAAACAAAACAGAAGAAGGTAAGCAATTTCTAAAGTACAATTAGAATGTCGAAAGAGCTTCCAAAAGAGTCACAGATCAGAAAAAAAAACAACAAAAAGAACCAGTATTTAAAAATGCATAGTGAACTATCGTTGAGAAATAAAATTAAAACTAAAAAAAAAATGCATTTTTGTGTGTAGTGAGTTTACGATAGCAGTGAGAACACATGTTTTAATGGATAAGAAAAAGATAGGCTATCTCTTAAATACTGAAACCATGGGCTTCGGTTCTTATTCACAGGAAGTGATAGGTTCCCAGAGCTGCAGAAATTAAACAAGTGCAAAATTACCTATCTCTTTCAATAGAAAATGATTTAGAGAGAAACAGGTACAAGGAAATTACTTTTTAACTGGACTATTTTAAACATATAGAAAAATAGAGAGATGAACATATTATATTCTATTGCCCATCTTTGTCAAATCGTAACATTTTGATTTAACATTTTTTAAATAATAAACCAAACACCACAGAAACAGTTGAAGGTACATATATAGTGCTTTCTTTTCTTTCTCCTCTCCTCAAAATAGCCACTATTTTGAAACATGTATGGTTTTACAGTTGTAATGCATATATATGTAAATATAAAGCATAATATTTTTTGCATGTTTTTTAACTTTTTATAATGGTATGATGCTGTGCACATCTTTCTGCAATTTTTCACTACCTTGTATTTTTGAAGTGAGTCTCTATTGATAAACATAGCTCTAGTTCTCGCAACTAAATGGCTGAATAGTATTTTATTGTATGAACAAAGCAAAATTCATCAATGTATCCTCCTATTAATAGAATGCTAGATTGTTTTCAATTTCGTAAGCTTTTTTATTGTCAACTATAACACACATGCAGAAAAGTACATAAAACATAATTGTACAGATCAACGGATTAGTGCAGATTAAACTCTCATGGAATCAGCACCCAGATCGAACAAGCATCTTAGAAGCCCCTGTGAATCCTTTCTTGACCATAATCAAGTATCTGGAGACACTATGGGTCTGTACCCACTGTTTTTTCTTTCTACTCATTCTCGCTCATGCTATCTTGCCTCCTTATATATATCTGGTTATCTTTGCACATTGGATACTTTATTAAAAAATTAGTTGCAGGAATAATTTGAGGCCTGAAGTATTAGCTTCCTCCAAAGAGTTTTCTGTTTGTTTCTGCCAGGCTCTTGGGGGCAATAGTCCAGGGTTACCTTAATAAACATACGAGCCTTGTACTATCTTATCTCGGGCCATCCAAGAACTTGACACTGACATGCAGCCATGTGAGGGCAAGTTTACTTCTGGGTTATCTTTACTTTGTGGTTCTGACCAAAAGTGGGGGCGGGGGCCGGCAGTGGGTATCAGATAGTCCCCACTCTTGGTACATCCTGCGTTCTGACTTTTGCCCCCCTATTGTGGCTCTTCCGGAATTGCAGCTCAGCCTTTTAGCCACACCTTCCGGATAGGCAAACACCCCCCAGGGCAAATATGGCCTCCAGGGCTAGGCTCCCATCTCCGGATCTTAGCCTGGCAACTCTTCTATATTTGATTAGTATTTTGATGCTTTTAAGAAGTTTTCAGAAAATATTTTGTTCACTTTTTTTCTTTTAACTTTTTAAGTTAAATGGGAGCATGGGTTCAAATTATCTAACCCATCATTATCCAGAGAGAAAACCTAAGATTTTTATTGGAATTATACTAAAAGTATAGGCTATTTTGTGAGAATTAGCTGTCTTTATCACGCTGGGTCCTCATCCAGGAACATGAGATTTGTCTCCATATATTTAATGTTGTTTAATAAAATTTCCTGGTTGTGTCTATAAGGTTCTCGCACATTTTTGTTAGATTTATTTTTTGTTGCCACAATAAATGACATTTTGGAAGTACATTTTATAATCAGTTGTAGCTGAATATTAAGGTAGATGATTTCTGGGTATTCATTTGTGTCTAGCATCTTTGCTGAACTCTGATAAAAATTATAAAAAGGTGTTCATAGATAAATACTCTTTGGTTCACTTATAATCACATCATCTATGAAAAGTGAGAGTTTTATTTTTCCTTTCTAACCCTTATACGTTTGGTTTTTTTCTTCCTGTCTTATTGAACTCAGTAGGACCTCCAGTACTATAATGAACGCCAGCAGTGATAATAGGCATTCTTGTCTTATTTATGATTTTAAGGAACTACTGTTGGAATTCCATCATTAAGTATAATATTTCCTAGAGGTTTCTGGTAGACACCCTTTGTCAAATTAAGGAAGTTCTACACTTTACCAACTTCTTTGAGCATCATTCCTTCATACATTTCACTCCTTCCTTCCTGGTTCATTTTGTTCTTATTGTAATACATCCTTTAGTATTTGTTTCAGTGAAAAATCTATTAGGAAATTTCTTATTTTCCTAATAGTTTACTTATTTAGCCTTCACTCTTTTTTTTTTTTTNACTTCTGCATGGGATGGTGGCTACACCCACCCGCAACTAATTGAACACAGCACCTTGAGCTGAGCGGTGCAACTGGACTCGGAGCTGAGCTTGCTGCACCCTCCACAACTAAGATTAAAAAAGGACAACTTGGCTGTTCCCCTTCTCCAATTCCCCAATAAAATCTTTAAAAAAAAAAAGAAAAAGAAATAGTCTAAAATATGGATAAAGATTTAAACACAAAGATATTTACAATGCAGAATACTGACAATAACTAAAATATCCAAAATAATTAATGTTTGTTAATATTATTTGTAATAGTTAATGTTTACTCAGCACTTATTATATGTCTGGCACCATGCTAATATATTTTATATGCATTATCTCATTCAATCCTCAACCTAGATATGGGGCTCTGTTATATCCCATTTTACAAATAATACAAATCAAAGAATCATACATTAAATAATTTTCCTGATCACACAGCTAGTAAATGGCAGACCTCATTCTCTGGTGTGAATCTAGCCCCTACACTCTTAAACCACTATTCTATGGTACATTCAACTGAGGTAATACTCTGTAGCCATTAAACTTTAGGGAAAATGCTCATGGCATATGAAGCCAAAGTGGCACTTATATTATGTTTTCAGCAGTGTTTAAACACATATACATAGAAAAAGAAAATACATTAATATGTTAACAGTACAATTATCTCTGTGTTGAATGATGATTTTTCCTCTATCACAAAATTTCTCCATATCAAGAAACAAACAAATAGTATTTTAAAAAATGTTTAGTGTTGTGGGTAAAACTGGAATGCTTTATAAATGTAAATTAGTAAAACCCTTTTAGAAAACAATATGAGAATACATACCATTCAAATATTCTTATACTTAGACTAAGAAATTTGTCCCAAGGATATAATTCAAAATAAAGGTGAAGAATGTCTTCACCTTTCTTTATAGAAATATTTATTCTTTATAGAAATATTTTCTTTCACATTCTTTATAGAAATATTTATATATACTAGCAAAGAAACTGGACAGTATGTAAATTTCCAACAATGTGGGAATAAGCTAATTAGGATACTGAATAGAACAAAACATGGAAAAATATTCTAAAACAATAGAGTTCTCATTTTAAGGCAGAGGAATTATAGGTGATCCTTTTCCTTTATTAAAATTTTTTTCTACTGAAAATTTAAATAATTGTTTTCAGTTGACAATTAATAAATCTGAAGTTTCTGAGTTTGTTGCAATAAACTTGCTATCATTGAGTTATTGAGATTTCTCATCTTCAATCCTGTCAATGAGAATCGTAACATATTTTACCAAATAGTTCACTAGTTAATAATAATGGACATTTTTTTAAGTTTCAGAGGAAATATTATAAAAGAAAATAAGGTATCACAATGCTTGTTTCTTCTTGGAAGTAGTTAAATCAAATTGGTTAACGGGAGCCAATATAAGAAAATTGATTCTGGAAAACTTGAACTGTAATCAAATCTATTCTGTATGTCTGGTAATTTCTTTCCTCTCCTTAACTCGCTGCTTCAATTTCACTCATGTTTCCTGAAGTAAAAGTTTCCAGGGGCTGGGATTNGGGGAAGGGGAACAGACAAGTTGCTGTCGTTTTGGTCTTCAGTCTAGTTGTGGAGGACGCTGCCCCACTGGCCCAAGTTGGCACCACCACTGCACTCCTTCCGGGCAAGGCAGATCAGTCGCCGGCTTCTGGACGGCCGCTCACTGCGGCTGCTGGCAGCTCACACTGGCTGCTGGCTGCTGGCTACACGCGGTAGCCCATGACAACCCACCGCCACTGGGGATGCAGCCTACGCCGTCGCCGGCGACTCTCGCAGCCCAGCTCCAGGTTGAGCTGTTATTCAGCATCTCAGCTGTGGAGGGCAGTGTCACTGGCCCTCATATGTGGGATCCAAACCGGGGCCCTCTGGCGTCCCAAGCCAGTTCTTAACCGTCGCGCCACTCGGCAGGCCCTTAGCCTTCACTCTTAATAAATAGCTGAGCTGGTAGAGAATTCCAGGTAGACAGTTATTTTTTTCTCATGATTTTAAAGACATTTTTCCACTATCTTCTTCAACAAACTTCTTCAAAAACGGTTGAGAAGTTTGTTGTCAGTCTATCTGTAGGGTGTCTTTTCTCTTGGCTGCTCTTAAAATATTTTATTTGTCTTGGTTGTTCAGTCAAGTTGTACCTACTCATATATAATACGACACAAGCATGTAAAACTTTAGTTTATTTGTAACAATTTTAATGCTCATTGTGTTTCCTGAATCAGAGTATTAATGATTTTCATAAATTTAATAAAAAGCCTATTTTCCCGCTCTGAAACACTTATTAGATACATATTAGATCTTCTCTTGACAGCCTTCATCTCTTTATCTCTTTGCTGCATGCTGTGTAATTTATTCAGATTTTCCATTTCACCAATTCCCTCTTTGACTAGGACTAACTTGCTGTTTAACCTGTCCATCAAGTTTTTTATGTTAGTGATTATTTAATTTCTAGAATTTCTACTTTGTTCAAATCTATCTGGGTTTTGTTTGGTTTTTTAAGTAACTAGATCTCTTTTTGTGCTTTTAATTCATCTTTTATATGCTTATCATTTAAAGTATATGTTTTATAGTCTCTATCACATAGTTCTAATATTGGTAGTCCTTGAGGGAATAATCTTGCTGTTTCTTGACTCTGTTAATCCAGCTCATGGTGGATTATTTCTTCACATGTTTTGTAATTTTGGATTGTGAGCTCATGTTCATCAGGATTTTAATTATGGGAATTCTTTTTGGGCCTAGGTTGAAAGCATATCCCTCCAGAGAGGTTTCAGGATTGATTTTGCGTTTGCTTCTGCTAGACACTCCAGTGCTATTATATACGCTCAACACCAATATTAATTGACTTTTCAGTTTGGGAGTTCAGAGCATGCCAGTATTACAAATTCAAACTCTAAACATGTTCAAAGATAGGCTCATGATTACTAATTCTCAAGGAAGACTATAAATCTGTCTCTCAGTTCCCAGGCTCAGACAGATCTCATTCTTCGACACCGCCATATAAGATTATGTTCTTTCCAAATTACCCTTTTACCAAATGGATAGCCTTTCGAGGGTTCTGACATTCTGCTGGGGATGACTCAGCTCCAACTCCCAGCCCGAAATAGTCCAAAGATCTCATCTCCTTACTCTGTGTGAGCTTTAAAATTCAAGCCACTAAATTACCAAGACAAGCAACTCCGTCACCCTAAGGCTTCTGCAATATCAGCTTATATACTTACCACTCGGGTTTTCAATTCTCTCTTCATTTTTGTCTCTTTCATTCTTATAAAATATGCTATACATTTAAAGTCATGTTTATTACATTTCATCCAATATTTCTAATGTTTTAAGTGGGACAGTTTTCAGGTTATCTAGACTTTCGGATTGGCAGAAAGAGAAGTCTCCAAAATCCTTACCTTTCCATGCCTTTCTTTTGATTAACTAGGGAGAAGGCTCAATTAGATACTGCTATTTAACTATTTTTTATAGTTTCTCATTATCTATAAAGAAGGTGGGAACACCCTAGAATAAAGCTTTCTATAAGTAACAGTCATTTCAAGTTGAAGAAATGAGGAAGGGTAGATGACAACAGGAAGTGGGAGGCCACTAAAGTTATGAAAAATTATGAGGGGATATAATGTATAATGAGTATTCAAAACCAAGAATATCTTGAATTCAAGGTCCCTTGTCATTGTTACTTATAGCGCACAACATTGAAAATAAAAACTCATTATGGGCCTTCCTCTAACAAAATGCATTAATCTAAATAAAACAAACATAAAGAAAATTACTTCCAAAAATAGAACATCTTTTCATTTTATTTGGTGCTGTATCTTAGAGATCCATTTTTTAGTGAAAAAAAGAAAAAAGAAAGAAAGAAGTTATTTTTCAGGATTTTGAAAAAGAAAAAACTGCTGGTTACTTTGGTAGTTAGAAAACATCACTCCAGGCAGAGTAATAAATAGTTTATAATCAGAAAGACTAAAGAGAAGTTTATCATGGAACACTTAACATGGCAGAAGGAACACAAGATGGAAAGAAAGGAGAGAAGCGTGTTTTCAATAGAACAAAATCCTTGATGTGAAATCAGATTTTTATGAGGAAAACAAAGGGCTTACAGAAGTGGGCAACATGAATAAAGGACTATTCTGAAGGTTCAGGAGAGAACAACAGAAACAGAGACCCCATTGAAAATAAACTTGGAAAACATGGAAATGGGAATAGATATGTTTGTACATTGTTCCTAAGGACAGAAATGCTCTTAATTTGCCCTGCCTTCTGCTTTCCCATTAGGACAGAGTCTCCCAGTTCCCACAAGGCTGCTGTATGCCCTGGACAAGCAGTACTTTTCCACTTCTCCCGTGGGGCAGGGGATACAACATAATGCAACAGAGAGAAACCATTATTAACGCAAGGTGACAAAAGATGAGATTACAGTCTCAGAGGCCAAGAACCCAGAACTGGGAAGACAGACAAATGATGAGAATTAAGGAGCTCTTCACAGACTTTTACAAATGACAAGCCGATATTTTTCTACTTTGGGTATAAAAATAATATGTCGTGATGGCCTGCCCACTAATCATGGAATGGTGAACTTGGAAAGGACTTTAAGAGGTCATTTCGGCCATTATCTCATTGCATTCCAAATACCTCTTCTCTTCTAAACCATATGACCCTCAATTCTACAAATTTGCATATTTAAGATACATGTGTATGTAAAGAGTTTTCTTCCAGTGATTATTTATTAGACCTCAATAGAAGTACTCATTTTTAATTATATTGAAGCAATTAACCTAATAGGAATTTGACACTGATTAAGAAGAATACGTTTCTGCCAGTTTTTAGCTTCCTGAGAACACACACATAGGCACACTTACCTTAGTGAAAGCTCGGTAACATAAGCCACACACCTCCACCAGGTAGGCCAAAGTGAAGACAGCATTCTGAATTACAAAGCTGAGCAGTTTTGAAAATGGTTCCAACAGACTCTGCAATGAGATTGGGGCCAAACAAAATCAATTGCTAATACTTTCATTAAAAAAGTATTCAAGTCTTATGATACTTTAACTAATGGGACCATTTTTTTTTTTAAATTCTGTTGCCAGGTGGCTAATGCAGCAACCCTGTTGGTCTAACAAGAACAGAACTGCACCTCCAATCAATAGCTCAAAGAGCACGATTTAATTTAATCATTTTATTGCTCAAAAAAAAATCCATTTTTCCAGATGGCATCATGTATAAAGCTACCTAACTCCAATCCTGTCCTGTGTCCACCTCTAGTAATCAAGACTCTTTGAGGATTGCATCACCATATTCCCCCATGTATAAGATGCATCCTTTTTTGAAAAATTTGGGGTCTAAAACCTGGGTGCATCTTATACAGTGGTTGTATGAGTGCAAAAAAACAAGCATGAAAAAAGCGAGAAATGCAAGTAAAAAAAAAATCTACAACCACTGTGTAAGACGCACCCAGGTTTTAGACCCCAAATTTTTCGGGAAAGGGTGCGTCTTATACATGGGGAAATGTGGTAGATCTTCCACTCTGTTTCTCAGAATCTCTAAGCATCTATGGGTTCATCAGATCCAGCTCCTCTAGAAGCCTGTCATCTGAGTCCAACAGCACAAACCAACCATTGCCTGTAAGTCCCAAAGCACTAACTATTAGCTTAGATAAATTCATCCTGACTCAGCTTCCTGCCAATGTTTATCAGGTCAGCTTTAGATCCATATGCTTTCGTAAGTCATTTAGAAACATTTATTGAGTACCTACTAAGTACCAGGCAGCCTCAGACGCTTTCATATAGCTTATCTCACTCAAATTTATTATAACGATCCTGGCGAGACAGTATAACAGCCGATGACACAACCTCTAGAGTCTCACCCAAGTACTTTCAAACTCTCGTTCTCTGTGACCTTAAGTAAGTGATTAACCTCTCTGGGCTTGGTTCTCTCCTCTGTAAAATGAGGATAACAATTGGCTCCCACCTCATTAGTGCTGTTGTGGGAATTAAAGGAGATAATGTAGGTGAAGTACTTGGCAATAGTAAGCCCTCCATCTTATTAGCTATGAGCTGCATCATAACTCTCTGAAACTTTACCATCCCCATTCTAGAGCTGAGGCAGTTAAGTAGGCAAATAACTCGCTTAAGGCCAAACAGCTATTAAATAGAATTCAAAACCAAATTCTAGCATAGTTTTCCAGAGGCAGAATTGCTCTGTAGGGAAGACAGGATTTCAATCAGGCTCCAAAAGACTTCCATGCCATGTTTTCTCAACCTCTGTAGTGCTAACTGCCTGGATTATAAAAGTAATACATGTTCAATGTATAAATAAAGGTTCTGTAGAAAGTATACATAAGAAAACAAAAGTCATACATAATCTTACCACCTAGCAATAACATTTTGATATATTTCCCTTCTTCGTTGCACACCAGTTTATTAGTTGAAATCTTACACCTATACAAGCCTACATTTTGTTATTTTCATTCTGTTAATATAACATGTCATTCCAATGCTATTTATTTCTTCATAATCATCCGTTTTAATTGACACAAAAGTCACACTTGATTATAAATAGTGTCCCAATAAGTAGGTTTCTGCATGAAACGTGCATTTCATTTTCTTCCTTAGAATAGATTCCTGGAAAATAAATGACTAAATCAAAGGCTATGAGCATTTGAGATTCTTTTTCCTTATTGATACAAAATTAAATTCATTACATGTTAGTTGTCCCTGAGGATAGGAATTATGTCTTTTGTTTGTATTCCCCACAGAAACCCATGTAAGTGCTTTCCATATTTAAAAAATCTTAAACTCTTTGAAATAGTATTGTTGACACAGCATTCTTTGCTCTGTATAAATGCTGTTGCCTTGAAACGCTGATGATGGATGAATGGGGACAGGGTATGTAATATTGATATATGATGCATCCTTATTTGTCCAAAAAAGAAACCTGAATTCAAACCTACATAGAAATGTGCTCTTTTAGTTAGCCAAGCAGCATGGAGGTGGGCAATACAGTTCAACAGCAAAATCAAGGAACTTGGAATCAAAGGACCTAGGTTCAAGTCTCCTATCTTTCACTAACCAGCTATGTGACCTTGGCCAAGACACTTTGACTTTCTGAGCCTGTGTCCTTATCTGTAAATGAGCAGATTAGACCAAATGATCTCTTTGCAACTTTCCAGTATAAACCATGAGTCTACGAAAGCACATTCAAGGGAAAAAGTTACAGAAGTTGTGCCCGTCTTAGTAGATTAACTAGTAGTTTCCAGCCACTGCAATACAAACTAGAGTACTTTTTCACATAATGCAGCTCAGAAGTGAAGCCAGGAGTACAAAGGCGAATGAGACACAGTGCTGGACTCACGGAGCTCACAGTCACATGGGAGAGACTTCAGTATAGTATCGGTGCAAATCCACAGAGCTCTGTCAAGTGTGGTAGGATCTGATATAGAAGCAAGTTGCTACAGAGAATATGAGCATGTTTTAAATTGAAATTCACACTCTCATCTTGAAGAATGAGAAGCGCTCACCTCCCTGACAAGGGTATAAAGCATTTCAGGCAAAGGAAATGGTCTAAGCGAAAGCAAGGAAGTATGAAATTAAATAAGATCATAAATGTAAAGGCAATTAGCACAATGCCTGCCATATGGTAAGTGCTCAGAAACAGTGGTTGTTGTTCTGATGATGGTAACGATGACTCTGTAAATAGGCAGGAGGCATGGGGGATGGGACAGGTAGCTGAAGACGGAGCTGGAACTGGTAAGCTGGCAAGTTAATGAAGTACCTTCCTGCATGCCACATTAAGGAATTTGGACATTATCCTAAAAGAAATGAGAAATCACCAAAGATTTCTAAGCAAGGAATTAATGCGATGAGATCTGTGTTTAGAAGGGTCCCCTAGTTCATAGTATGGAGGGTGGACTGGTGGACATGGCCCAGGACTAAGAGGACCAATTATAAAAAAAAAATACTGTGATATATTAGAGCTCTTCACACTAGATACTTTCAAGGAGGTTGAAAGTAAGGCATTCAGTATGAAATAGCTTGTTTCTTCAATATTGCTACATGACTTTTTCAGTTAAAAAATAACAGAAAAACCAATTGGTTATGTTTTTCCTGAAACATACATACCCTTGTGGCATTGGTAGAGGGTATCTTCAAGAGGCAAATCATAATTCTCAAACTGGAATCTAAAGAACACTGTGAACAAACAGGAAAAAAGTAAAAGTCAGTACCCTTCTTCATGTATCTTTTGCTTCATATAGTTCCTGTAAGCACTTATTTTAGGAAATAAAATCTGAGGTATAGCTGCCTCCTTACCATTTTCCATGCCATAGATTCATGTTGAAACAAAATCATTCTCAGGTTTTAAAAATTTTATTACACAATGTTAGGCCATTAAATAATTAAGCATAGCTCCTAAACTATTTCTCAAAGATATATCCCTAAACTTAAACCAGATAGAGTTGGATAAAGAATTGGATGGGTGGGTGGATGGATGGATGGATGGATGGATGGATGAATGGATAGATGTACAGACTGACAGATAAGTACATAGGTAGATTTTAAATGTGCCCAACTCTACACAGGTACACTCATTTGTAAAAGGCCATGTAGAAAAAAAAACACAACAACTTAGATTGATTTAAAACCATTAGGTGTCCTAGTCCAAATAAGAACCAGTTTCATCTGCCTTTTCTCTACTACTAAAAGGCATGACAAAAACCTGGGAAAGCAGTAAAATTCCTACAAGAGAAAATCATGCCTCACACATCTGCTAGAGTTGTATTTGGCAAGATTCCACATCAAAATGTACTTTTAAAATCTAGTTTACTAGGATTTGGGGAAAATTTACAGCAAGAACAAACAATGACATTATTTAAATACATGACAATAGCAGACTACAGTTAAATCTCTGTAGCTGTCTACAATATTAACCTCTTTAAGGTAGTACAGACCAGGCCAGTGGTTCCCCAGGTATAATCCTCAGACCAGCAGCACCTCTATGACCTGGAAACTTGTTAGAATGCCATTCCTCAGGTGGCAGCCCTATGGAATCAGGAACTCTCAGAATAAGGCCCCGGATTCTGCATTTTAGCACGACATTTAAGGATACTGATGCACAATGCAGTTTGAGATCTGCTTCTATGAACTGATGAGAACAAACTACAGAAGGACTTTCAATGGCTTAATATTTTCCCCAGAGATTACAAACAAAAAAAAAGATGATCAGACGAAGTGCCCAGATCTGATCTAGCAGGGAAAGTTTTTACACACATTCTGAAAGTATTTCACGAGTGCCTTCTAAGAGAACCATTAACCCATTTCATCTGCTCAATGCCCATGGGAGTTGATGTGACATTCACATTACTTGGAACCAGGAGCCGGAAACTGGTTGCTCATCAGATTCCTATAGTATTTTAAAACTCAGGAAATATCATCTTAGAAAACACGGGATCAAGATTATTGATCTGCACTCCCACAATTAGCTGGAGTGGAGCAGCAGCTGACCCCATTACAAGGAACTGGTGCTTTCCAGTTCTCAAGGATCTCAATTGTCCTTATTACCTTATCTTACTCCACTCCACTCATTAACCTTGAAGTCGGGTCCCCGGGGCAGGGCTGAATGTTATAAATTAGGCTTACCAGTGTTTACAGCTGGCAATACTTCCAAATGGTCAGAGTTCAAGTTAAATGTTTTGACTATAGCATCGGCCTACAGGCATTTGAGTTTGCCAGGCCTGACCCACCCCTTCTCTTAAAAGTGTGTGGTTCTGAAGCAGTGAATGACCCTGAATCGCTCTCAGGTTCTAGGGAGGGTCCATGTGGCCATGTTAAAATGTGTGCGCTTGATCTCCTTATATGTGTGTACAGTAGCTGCATACATCCACGGTTCAAAGCACTCATCCTCTTTGCTTGAATTTAGTCAGCTATTCTAGATTTGTGAATAGACAAGGATCATAAAGAGCTCAGTATTCCTGTTTCTCACAGTAACTTCAAACTCAAAGAAAGCAGCATACACCAAGCTAAGGGGCTCTACATTTTCATCCTTACAGAGCCTATTTTGGGTCATATTTCCCAAATCTGTCAATTTGGAAAAAGGTATTGTCAGGGGGAAACCATTTTATATACATGTAGTACTCATTTTAGAAGCGGTGCTGCCAACATGTAACCTCATTTGTCAGATTAACAAGTGATTCATTTTGTTGCAAGTTGAATATTTCTGTGATCTGCATAAAGCACAACAACAAGCTTACAGAGCAAATGAGCTTCACAGACATAGCAATGGCCACTGCCAGCCACCTCTTATCCCCGCTATAGACCTGAATGACTTCAATTCGCCCCTGCTTTAGGACCCTGAAGTCTGCAGGTGGGAAGGACGCTGGACTGGGAGTCAGGAGACTTGAGTTCTAATCCTCACACTGCCACCACCCCTCTCTGAATTTGCAGTCCCCCACCAGAAAATGGGGACATCCGAAAGGATGGTTTTTATAGGTCTCTTCCAGCTTTAACAGTATAGGGTTCTGTTTTTGCATTTAATGGTTTCATGTTGAAAATGTTTCTTAGGCTATCAGATTTCCAGCTAGGTAATTGTGTCTGTATTTTGGAGGATGGCATGGTAGTGTGTGTGTGTGTGTGGGGGGGGCAGATTGTAAATCATTCAATCAAACAGAAATATCATCTTGGTCTTGCAAGTATTTTATTCCCAAATGCACAAGCAATCACTTCCCTTTAAATAATTCCCTAAAATTGAAGCTTTACATGATAGGTCTGGTCTCCTTTTAGACAAAACTATTTATTTACTAGGTATTTATTTACTATCCACTTGAGAAAAATGTCTAGATAAACTCTATCTACTAATGTATTCCTGACTTTTTTTTTAATTAACTGGAATCATGAAATCACTAAGTAAAAATGCCTCCTGCACGTTGCTGTCATTCTGTAACATTTGGAGGGAATAACCTAAATACTACTCTCCACTCCGTGGCTAATAGATCCCTTATAGCTCCTTATGAAACATTAAATCACCCAAGGCCCTGCCTCTCTGCTAGCAGAAGGTCTGCAAATGGTGAGAACGTAATTAAAAATGAATCCTGGGCTCAGCTTACCTTCAGAGGCAAAACACAAGGCAGCTTGGCAAAAAATGTCTGAAACTGGTTGCTGATTGTGGTCCAGAGGCTACTAGGCGCATCCATGGGCAAAGCTTCCATGAAGGTAGCAATGTTTTCCAAACAGCGTATCATAGCACCCCCTGCTGGTAAATTCTTTTTGTTATTTAGACCCTAAAAACACAAAAGCATAGGCAATCAACTGCTGAAACAGCGTGGGAATTCGTGTAGCTACTTGGTGAAGATCAGTTTTAAATATCACATATTCAGGCTATAAACATGTCATGTGCCTGCTATTGTGTATAGGCTAATCACTGTAATTGATAGGAGAAGTCCAGAGCAAAGTCGACAAATTCAGATAAACTTAGGGGGGTAAATGGTGATGTCTGACTCAGTGAGAGAAGGTGGAATGTGAGCAAGAAACAGTTCTTTTCAGGATCCACAATTGGCGTGGTTAGGTGCTAAGACGACAATGTACGATGCTCACGGAGAAACTTCGCTGGCGGAAGACTAACAACTATAGGCGCAGCAAAGTTCCTATGGCAACCTGACAATCCCCCCAAGCTAATTGAGAGAGCTAATATATGCAGAGGCCCTGAGACATGAATCCAAGTCTCGCGATACAACAAATAAGTAAGTAGTGGAGCTGAGACCTGACTTCAAGTCTCGCAGCAGAAAAAATAAGCAAGACTTGAATCCAAATCTCTTGATACAATGAAGAAGCAGTGAAACCGAGACTTGAAACCAAGTCCCACAATGCAGTTCTCACTGCTCTGCCCATCACACATTTCAAAAGCCAGGGAGGCACCGGGAGGTGAGTGCTCAAAGGCGGGCTTCCACCCCTCGGTTGAGGATGCCCAGGGACTTTACATAAATAGGAAATCCACACAGAACAGCAATGTCCAACTGACACTTGTCTGTGCGTTGGCGATTTTAATGAATTTCTAAAATGTAAACTATTTAAAATTTTATTTGGCATTCTAAACTTACATTTTAACTTCTAAATTAAAAAAAAAGTTAATTTCTTAATTGAATGACTTTGTCTTCCCCAGCAGGGCTGTCATCAAAGCAAACCTACCTCCAAGAGCTGACTGAGAGCAGCAATAGAACTCAGCTCATTGAAGTCCATCAGAGACGTGGCTAAGGTCCGTAAAAAAGTCCCATCTGGAAAGTCAACAATCAGACTTAGTAGTGTTCGGGTTTCAGTGACTAGCCACGTTTGCGGTGTCTGGATTGCCCGCAGGTGAGTTACCTTTGATGGTGCTCTGGAACAGCTGTGGGAAGATGCCGTTGGGGGCCAGCTGATGGAAGATGCAGCGCAGGAACTGCTTGGCCACCCCCGCCGCATTGCCGGGAACCATCATGCTGGAGTCGAACAGGGAAAGAAGAGACAAGGAAACATGGAACAAACAGCATGAGTCTGAGTATTTACTTATTAGGGTTCGGGCATTTACACGCCAGCCCTCTTATGGACTATCTCATAGTCCTTTTTCATCAGTGAGATGAAATAGTCTAATCACACAGAATCCTGTTAACAGTAAGTTTTTAGGAAGAGAAAACCAGGAAATGCCAGATCCGCCCCAGACTATTTCAGCCACCCCAGTGCACACAGGAGGGTTTCCGAGGCCCAGAGAGAGAAGGTGACCCTGTGAAGGCCACAAGTCCAGAGAACGGCGTCAGGACTAGAACCCAGGATGAGGATTATCAGCGAGATCCTCCCAGAAAGTGTCACTGTCTAAGAGAGAGAGCTGCTGTGAGGAAAACTGCAGGGAGGGAAATGTTCATTCCTGTTGGGAGAGCTGGGAAGATTTGGGGGGCATCTGAGTTGGTACTTGCAAAAAGGATAGGACTTTGATATGCGCACTTGTCCCCTTTACCCTCTATACCACCGCTGCATATCAAAAGTGGGAGTCAACTTTGTGAGTGGAGTAAATGTCTAACTATTGTTTTGTACACCTGAAACTAAAAAAAAAAGAGGAAGCCAAGAGATGATTATGTGGCCCTGCCCCTCAGGACAAAGTATCAGAAGGGATGTTTCCAGAGTGATTAGGGGTCAGAAGGGACGTTTCCAGAAGAAAGAAAGAAAATCAAAAAGCCCAAATGGGTAACTGGTAAAAAGTCCCTCTTACCTAAACTGTTTCATTATGCCACGTCTACCCTGAAATGCTGGTTCAAACTTGTAGGTCAAAAATGTTCTTCAGGAAGAAATGATAAGCAAACTTACAAACTCTTTCAAAAATAAGGGACAATCTTTACAAAAAAAAAAATAAAATAAGGAACAAAAATAAATGAAAAGGAAAAAAAACAGGGGCTGGCCGAGTGATGTGTTGGTTAAGAGTTGGCTTGGGATGCCAGAGGGCCCCGGTTCGGATCCCACATATGAGGGCCAGTGACACTGCCCTCTACAGCTAAGATGCTGAATGGCAGCTCGACCTGGAGCTGGGCTGCCGTGAGTCGCCGGCGACGGCGTAGGCTGCAGTCCCCTGCTGCAGTGGGCTGCCATAAGCTACTGTGTGTAGCCAGCAGCCAGCGTGAGCAGCCAGCAGCCATGGTGAGCGGCCGTCCAGAGGTCAGCGACTGATCTGCCTCGCCCGGGAAGAGCGCAATGATGGTGCCAACTTGGGCCAGTGAAGCAACATCCTCCACAACTAGACTGAAGAACAACACAACAGCAACTTGTCTGTTCCCCTTCCCCCAATTCCCCAATAAAATCTTTAAAAAAAAGAAAAAAGACCAATTGTCCTCATGGACATTTCATCCAACAATAAATAAAAAGGATGATGGACCATGACCAGATACAATGTATCCCAGAAATATAAGAATGACTTAATATTCCAAAACCAAACAATAGTATTCAATACATTAAAGAATAAAAGGGAAAAAATATAGTTATTTCAACAAATACAGAAAATGCATTTGAGAAAATTCAACAGATATTCATGATAAAAACTCTCAGTGAACTAGAAATAGAAGGAAAGGAACCTCCTCAGTCTGGTAAAGTTCATCTATGAAAACCTATACTTAATGATGAGATATTAAATGTTTTTCCTGTAAGAGCAGGAACAAGGATGGATGCTCACTCGCATCTGTATTATTGTACTAGAGGTCGTAGCCATTGCAGTAGGGCAATAAAAAAAATAAATAAAAGGCATAGAAATCAGAGAGAACTGATTTCACTATTTATAGATAATATGATTTTCATATACAAATGCTTTTAGATTTTATGGAATCTAAAAAGAAACTACTACAACTAATAAGTGAGCTTACTATTGTACATTACAATGTTAATACAGAAAAATCAATTGTATATTTATATACCAGCAGCAAAAGGTTGAAACATGAAATTTTTTTTAAAGTCCATTTATATTGGCATTAAAATAAACAAAATTTGGGGGAATAATTTTAAAAAGATGAGCAAGGCCTCTACACTAAAAACCGCAAAACATAATGCAGAGAAACAAAAAAACTGAATGTAACGAGAATATATACCATGTTCATAAATTGAAAGACTCAATACTTTTATGATGTCAGTTGTCTTTAAATTAAGTTATAGTTTCAACACAATCCCAGCAGGCTTTTCCCCCCAAATTGAGAAGCTTATTCTAAAATTTACATGGAAATATGGAGAATCTATTGGGTTGTTGGAAAAGCCATGAGGTATTTTTTCTGTTTTTCATTGCAAAAATGTGTCATGACTTTTCCGACAACCCAATAGAAGAGCCAAATCCATCTTCTTGAAAAAGATGACCAAAGTTGGAGGAGTCACATGATCTGACTTTAAGACTGACTATACAGCTTCAATAATCAAGACAGTGGTGTCAGCTCAAGGAACAACATATAGTTCAATGGAACAGAATAGAGAGCCTTGAAATAGATCAGCTTTAATATGGTTAGTTAATCTTAACAGATACCAAAGTGATCCAATGGGTAAAGCCATTTATTAAAATGGTGCTAAAATAACTAGATATCTACATGGATAAAAAGGAAGTTCAACCCCTACCTTACACCATACATAAAAACTTAATTTGAGATGTAGCATATAAATGCTAATTACAAATTCTAAAACCATAAAACTTTCAGAGGAAAACACTGGAGAATATCTTCTTGACTTGAGGATAGGCAAAGGTTCCTTAGACAACAGAAAACAATAATCATAAATTGTTTTAAAATGTTAAAACATTAGACTTTATCTAAATTAAAGACATCTCATCAAAATATACCAGTAAGAAAAGGAATAGGCAAACCCAAGACTGCGTGAAAATATTCTAAAATCATATTTAATAAAGGACTGATATTTAGGATATATAAAGAAGTCCTGCAACTCCATAATAAAAAGACAAAACCCCAGTTAAAAATGTACAAAAGATTTGAGCAGACACCACAAAAGATTTACAGGGGGTCATGAACAACACTTGAAAAAATACTTAACAGCATTAGTTATCAGGGAAATGCAAAATAAAACTATAATAACAAAATAAAACCCACTAGAATGGCTGACAACAAAACACTAACACCACCAATTTTGGGCAAAGATGTGGAACAGCCAGAGGTTTCATACATTGTTGGTGGGAGTACAGAATGGCATAACCACTCTAAAGGGAAGTTCTGGTAGTGTCTCATAAAAGTAAACAAACACCTATCCTGCAACCCAACACTTCCATCCCTAGGTATTTACCTAAAAGAACCAAAAGGATTTGTTTACAAATAGGCTTCTATAAGAACGGTCATAACAGCCTCATTCAGAATAGCCCCAAACTGGAAACAAGGCAAATGTCCACCACTATGAAAATGAATCAACAAACTATGGGGTACCACTCAGCCCTGAAAAAGAAACTACTGATACATGCAACGACATGGATGAATCTCAAAAAACGTTATGCTAAGTGAAAGGAGCCAGACACAAAAGAGCACAAACAGTATGATTCCGTTTATACTCGTAAGAAGCTCTACGGTAGAAAAGAAAATCATGAGAGTGTTTGCCTCTGTGACTGGGAAGGGGCATGAGTGAACTGCCCGGGGGTGACAGCATGTTCTATGTCTTCACAGGGGTTTGGGTTATGCAGGTGCGTGCATTTGTCAAAACTCAATGAATGTACACTTCAGATATGTGTACTTTCTTGTATGTAAATTTTGCATCAAAAGAAAAAACCATGAACAGAAATGGAGCTTGAGTTACTCATAACTATATTGAAGCATATAGGAAGTATGCTAATGTCTGAAATTTACTTTGAAATGCATCCAAAAATAAAATGGATTGATGGATGGGTAGAAGGATGGACACGTAATAAAGCAAGTAAAATGTTCATTTAGAATCTAGGTGATAGGTATATGAGTGTTCATTATAAAATTCTTTCAACTGTGCAGTGTATTTAAAATTTTTCATAATAATATGTTAGAGAAAAGGGTAAAAAAAGAAAAAAAACAAGACATTCTATAACTAAATAGAGCATAAAACGAAGAGCAAACATCCCTAAAACCATAAATTATAGAAGTGCAATAACAACACCACCATCTTATGTTTGTAAGACCTGCTACAGTTATGCTATCACTTATACTCAGTCACTAGAACCTCACAACAAATACCCCTGTAGAACACAAAGGGCATATATATTAGTATCCCTCTTTTATAGATGAGAAAACTAGAGCAAAGGTACAAATGTGCCCAAAGTCACACACAGTATCTCTTCCTGCTCTCCTCTGGTTCTTTCTCCCCACTTTACCCAAAGTAACCTTTCTACATGCTACACACACACACACACACACACACACACACACACACACACACACACCCTCGTTACTTAAAAATCTTTCGACAGCTTCTCACAGCTGCTAGAAGGAAGCCCAAAATATTTAATGTGGCTTATAAGCGTTGTACAATCTGACAAACCAATCTCAGCAAGAGCTCGCCTCTCTGTGCTGTAGCCACACTGGCCTTTTCATGGTTCCTCCTACACACTATATTCTTTACCACCTCAGGACCTTTGCACATGTCTTCCCCCTAACTACTTGCACAGTTAAACCCAAGTCATTTTTTTCAGATCTTAGTTTGAACATTACTTCTCCTTCTCCCTTCCTTTACTGCTACCCAGAGTAGATCAGGCCCGCCTGTTGTATACCCACGCGTCTCTCATCTAGGCATGCCCATCTTACTAAGTGACACCGTCACCCACCCAGGGGTTCAGACCGAAACCTGGGAGTCATTCTTACCCTCTCTCTTTCAATCTATCAGCAAATTCTATTGGCTCTACTGTCAAAGTATTTCCTGAATATACCCTTAATGTGACCACTTCTCACTGCCATAAGCAAGCCCTTCATATCTCACATCTGCACCACTGAAATGGCCTCCACTTTGCTTTCCCTGCTTCCACTCTTGACCTATTTTCCTCCATAGTCTATTTTCAGCACAGAAGTCAGAATGATTCTTTCAAAACACAAGTCATGTCACTCCTCACTCCCTGGTTCACTCGGTGAAAGCCAAATTCCTTACCATGGCCTGCTGGGCCCTACCTGGCCCGGCCTCCCGTTGCCTTTGCATCTCATCCCCTCCCGCCCTTCCACACTCACTGTGCTCCAGCCTATGTTAGTCTGATTCCCCAGATACACTAGGCATCCTCCTGGCTTAAGGTCTTTGCATTTGCTTCTTCCTCTGTCTGGAACATTCTTTCTATAAATTGCCGCATGGATCACTCTCTCCCCTTTCCAGGTTGTGTTCAAATACCGTTTCCTCAGAGAGGCTGTGCTGGACCGTTATATCCAAAACACTACCTCTGGCCACCCTCTATCTCCCAGACTTACTTACTGCTGATAGAGTTTAGCACTAAATGGTATTAAATTACATTATCAGTTTTCTTATTTGTTGATTTGCTTATTGCCTGCCTCCTTAACTACAATATAAGTTCTATGAGAGCCAGGATTTGCTGTTTTGTTAACTACCCCATCCTTGGTTTCTAGTGGGCACCCCAAAAATACTTGTTGAATAAATTAATGTTATACATGTCTCACTATACTTTTTGTTCATAACACTTAGCACTGTTTAGTTATAAAGTTGTGCATACATTTTTTCATGTTTGCCTCCCAGATTATGGGACTGTAAGCCCCATAAGGGCAGGAATTATGTCAGTGTTGTCCCTGGTTGAAACCTAAGTATCTAGTACAGGGCCTGGTACGGGTGGGCTTAAAAATATTTATTGACTAAAATGAGTGAATGAATGAACGAACAACAGAAAATAAACACGTGCTCTCTGGAGCTGCAACTAAACCTAACAATATTCCTTCCATGGTGTAGACTCTGGTGTTTTAGAAACGGGGTGAAAATGCACAAGAGACAAAAAGAAAGTGAGACTGGAGCTCACTTGAGGGCCTTACCTTTCTGCTTGATTAGAAAAAGTAGTGCTGGATGCCAACCTAGGAAATAAGTAAACAGAGTCACATGAGTATCTTAAGTTTTCAGGATAAAATGCACGAGTACTGTGGTAGGACCCTCTGAGGCTCCAGTTTAGATGGCGAGACATGTAAAACCGTGGACAAGGCCCTTGACCAGGGACAAAGGGCCCAGGCAGTGGTCAGTCTTCAGGGTCCAACTTAACCTGCTTCCAGAGACCTGATTTCTGCATCAAATCAGATATTTCCAAGGACATGCATAGAGTTAAGTTTGTTTAATATCACCCAGACAATCTATAAAATGGCCTCTGCTGCCAGGTTACACAGATATCAGAATAACATTCGACCCAGTCCATCCCCGTATCAACTCAACTCAAAATTAATTTCTTTCTGTACAACTTCTGAAACCTAACCAAAAACAAGCAACAAATTGTAAAAGCCTCTATAAGACAGTAAAACAGGTAATAGGGGTATTTGTCAGCTAATCGTTGGGTTAAAAGGACATACTGAGAAAGGTATTAGGTTAAGTAATCAATATATAACATGTAATTTTTGAAAAGTATAATTGTATGGTTCTCTACACATGGAAATATTCTGTATGTATAGAAAGAAAGAATGCGCTCAATCGGTGGTTGATCACTAAGATATTGAAGAAACAAATAAAGAGAATGCTACAAATGTATTTGCTTTAGACCACAAGAGAGTAAGCTGAGCCAAGAAAACATCTGGAGAGGAGTGAAAGGTCCAGCAACCTCTAACACCAGACCATTCCCAGCTGCTTTCGTCATGGACCCTCTCATGCTAATGATGCTACGATGAATTAACATTGGCAAATGAAATAAACAATATTAAGGGTGCAGCAAATATGATCTTGAAGGCTGTACCTAGAAAAAAGGGGTGGGTACGCCTTAAGAGGGATCTAAGCAGAGAGCAAAATACAAAATCATATAGAAAGGGTTGGGTGATAAATAAAAGGCTCACACTGCACTTACATACTCTTAGAACACCGTGGAAACAGTTCCTGTGGGACTAGCATAAATAAACCCAGTGTTCACACATCCACATGACCTCATGTGGAACTGAGGCACACAAGGAAGCCCTGAATCAGAGGACTGCTGACTCTGTTTCCTTGGCAGGCTTGGTGATTAGGCTTAGGCTGCTACGAATTCTGCAAGCTTGCTTTATAATCTTGCCACCCCCAGATTACAAAATGCCTAGGGAACCCATCTTAAAATAGGTAAAGAGAGATCATTAGAACAATAATATCTAAAACATATAAAGTGTTTCCTTGGAACGACACACAGTTCTGACCACTGTTATATACATCAGCTCCTATAGTAACAGAGAACAACAAACTTGGTGCGTTTTCCTCTGGTTCCATCTGCCATTGCAACTCATGGCCGCACACGGTTGGGAAATTCAACCAAAAGTTTGGGCCATTCAGTTTTTAAAACTAGTCCAAGCTGATCCCACAAATATAGAGCATCAATAAGGTTACTGGATGTTTCATGTTTGAACTGGCCGTTCCTATTTCAAGATATAGATTGAATAAGGCTCCTTCCTACCAAACAAAACAGAAGCCGACATTCACCTTCCCACAGACTGCATGATATCCAGCAAGAGCGGGGCTGCCAAGTCTGGGCTTAAGTGAATGAACGTGGAGAGGACCACAATGGCCAGCCCAAGTGTTTCCTCATCATATTCTTCAAGAATGGCTCCGCAGTCATGGCATCTGCAAAGAAAACAGAGGGATGCTTTCCATGAAAGCCAGCAATGGTTTCAAGATATAAAAAGTACATACAGGCCGAGTAGCTCAGTTGGTTAAGAGCGCGAGCTCTGAGCAACAGGGTCACTGGTTCAATTCCCACATGGGCCAGTGAGCTGCACCAGAGCTGAGCTGCCAACAGGTGGCAGAATGGCTCAGCTGGTGAGAGCACGTGCTCCTAACAAACAAGCTTGCCGGTTCAACTCCCACATGGTATGGTGGGCTGCCCGCCCCCCTCCACCCCCACAACTAAGATTGAACACGGCACCTTGAGCTGAGCGGCCATGAGCTGCACGGGTGGCTGGATGGTGACTGGACTTGGAGCTGAGCTAGCTGCGCCCTCCACAACTAAGATTGAAGGACAACAACTTGGCTGTTCCCCTTCTCCAATTCCCCAACACTGTTCCCCTTTCCTGGTTCCCCAATAAAATCTTTAAAAAAAAAAAAAGTACATACAGCCATTAGGGGTGAGTCTTGGAAAAGTCCCCAAAAGGAGGTCAGTGGTCTCACGCTAACAATAAATAGGAGAAGTGAATGCCACCGTCACCACAGACACAGAACCAGCACACATGGCAGAGACCAGGAAGGCTCCTTTGTACAAGCATCTAGCCTGTACATGAATTACTGCTCCTTTTACACTGAGTGCCAACTGGACTCAGTTTGAAGCTTCTGGCTGAGGGATTTTCTGCATGTGAAATTACCTCTAAGGGTAATCAGAAGCTAGAAATTTTTTCATTTGTTGAAATGAAAAATGTCTAGACACAAATGGAAGCTCTCTTAAGCTTTCCGATTAAAAATTATCCTCTTTGTGGTGAGACACGGGACAGTCAAGTCAAGAGAGCACTTTGGAAAGCGGGGGGAGTCCGGATCGCAGCCTCTTCTCTATTTTCACTGAGTTTTATGAACTCGCCACACCTACTGAGTGTAATATGTAAAAGCACAATGACACCTGCTCTTAAGTAGCTTACAACGTACTGCTCTTTGTAGTTTCTAGTGTGGATTCAATTTAATCCATCTCAACCAGAGCCGGAGCTGCAGCCAGGCAGCTTTATAAAGTGAAGGGAACATCTACTGGGAACAGCAAGGGAACCAGAGCTACGATGGCCACTGTGATCCATCCGAAAACTTCCTAAATGATGTATATAATTTCCTACAAATTGACTTCTTAAAAATATAGGACTCACATTTGTGGCTGAAAATGAAGAGAAACGGCGTGCTCACACAGGCAGCCAGGAAGGCAACTAGGAAAGGCTGGGGCTTGGGCGATAACACAAAATGGGGAGCCAAGAAGCGCTCTCCACAAGCAACGAGGGGCTCCCCGTGCGGACATCCCAGGCAGCTGATCAACGCGGGCGCTGTCGTGTCTCCAGGAACGACCATCAGCTGGACCAGCTGCCTGGAGCCTCACACCAGCCCCTCTACCTCACCCTCTGTCACTTGGGTCACCTTTACTGGGAGGTGTGCCTGGCCCAAGGGGATCGCTCCAAACCTAAAATCCTGTAAGCCTTATTCTTTATCATACTGAATGGACAAACATTATGTGCCAGGCAATGTGTAGGGAGCTTAGAGTATGAAATACAGAAGAAAGGTCCCAGTTCCTAAGGTACTCACCATCTATCACAGACTATGTATGTACTAACAACTAAACAATTAAAATACCACCTGTGATAGGTGGTAGACTAGATAGATGCATGAAATACTATAGAAACTTGCAAAATGGCATGACTAATTCTGCCTTGTGGAATCAGGGCATCTTTGCCTCTAGCTGGGTCTGGAAGCATGAATAGGAGTTCACCAGGCAGAGAAAGGACAGAGAGAAGGGCACCTATGCAATCACAGAGGGAGCACACTTCAGGCGTGCTCTGGAGATGGTGAGGGCGCTGGGGAAGAGTGCCTGGTGAGGCGTGGGGAGGCCACAGCTTCACCATCAAAAGGGCCTTTCTCAGCTAAGGCATTTGGACTTGATCCAACAGGAAATCTGGGGATATTGAAGGCTGACAAACAGAGAGGTGACATAACCAGTTTGAAATTCAGAGAACGGATTCCGTTGGCAGGATGGGAATAAGGTCAAGTCTCAAACTTAATCCCATCCTAACAAGGTGAAGCTTCTGGTTGTGGGATCTTGTTTGTGTGAAATCATTGCTAGGAGTAATCAGTAAGTGGATATTTATTTGCATTTGTCCAAATTACAAAAAAAAAAAAAAAAAGTCTTGGCATAAAAGAAAGCTGCCCATATGATACTGCATTTCTAGAATAACAAATGAATATCAACATTTATGGCTGTGGCCATTTGAAGAAAAAATTTTGACTTAAAGTACAGTATGCCTCCTCTGATGCTTTCTCATACCCATCCATGGTGAGAAAACTCTCAAATTCTGTAAACAAGGTGAAGACCATAACAGTGTGAGCTTACTTGTCAGTCATCACTGTCGGCTGCTCGTCCGTGAACTCTTCGGGTGCTGGCACAAACATACTGACAATACTGGGTGCTGACAGGAGGCTGGATTTAGTGGCACCTGCAGGGTAAGCAGCAAAGAGACAACTGGTGAATGGGGGCCAGGAAAATCTGCATCCTCCTCTTATAAATCCTCCAAAGACCACATTCACAGGGATGTGACATGGACAGTCAATAGCATTATGAACCCCTCAAGGGTAAAACGAATTCCAGAGAGACTGTGATTTGTTTCTGCTTGTATACTTTTAAGAGCTAGACTCCTATCTCTTCCTTTGCTTCTTGGCCTTGAAAAGAATCAGAAAGAGTTCAGGTGTCAACAGGGTGCTAAGACAAAAAACGAAAAAGGGGGAAATCTATCCAAGGGGACCCTAAATGAGTTATGACCTTTATTTCCTGGGCATAAATGAAAGCTGCCCATACAATACTATTTCTAAAGTCACAAACATATACCAATACTAAAACGCTGGGAATTTGGGAAAGAAGTAAGATCCTAGAACTCCACACCCCTAAACAAGGGGAGATGTTTGAGCTAAGAAACATCAGGACGGTTTTCTGCTTTGGGAATTAATACCATAAGCCCCAAAGCAAAACACTTCATTTTCAAACTGAAATATTTAAGAATGAAATATCAAGTCTTTTGAAGGAAACATCCAGGGTCTTCAGCCAATCGATATTGCACAGTTTAAAACTTTGGGTTTTGATGCCTTCAAAGAAATCTGAGGCAGGAATCTTGGCAGCATGCTCTAGTGATGAGTAAACCTGGAGTCGGGTGACGGGTGCCCATTAAGAAAACCACCAGTGCTGGACAGACTCCCCGGGACTGTGGAAATGAGGCACCCCAAGTAGAATCCCAAAGTGACAGTCCCGTTCTACAAAGTAAGAGCTGAGACTCTGAGTTTTTCCTTCAAACAGGAAAGAAGGTAGAAAAACCCAATGGTCATTAAAGAATCTGTTTCTCTTCAAGGAACTGGTAACTTGGTGCTGAAAAACAAAACAAAACTACATGATCTTTCCTTAAAATATGACAGATAATGATTCAGAGAATTGGTTTCAACATAAACTTTTAGAAACCTAGCCAAATGGACAATGTGTTTCAATCTGAGAGAGAGAAAAAAAAATGGTATGGAAGCCTTCGAAGAGTCAAAATGCTGCCAAGCTATACATACGCCTTTGTCTGATCAAAGTCTACAAAATGTGTTTCTGAGAAGCCTGGGGCCTGCAGACCCAAAAGACAAAGGAAAGTATCTGAAAATATCTTTATGTCATCTCCAAAGATCCCAAATGGGAATCCAAATTTCACTGCTGTATTTATCAGCTGTCTCTGAGGTACCACTCTTTTCTAAGTGTACCCAATTGCATCATTAACAAAGATCTCCAGTTGTTTTCATAAAGATGTAGCTTGGGCTCTTCGGGTAAGGAAATGGCCCAGTCTGGTCCAGTAAGGGAACGATTCAAAGAACTTACTGAGCAGTATGAAAAATCTGAAAATGGGGGCAGCAGAGTGGCTCAGTTGGTTAAGAGTGCAAGCTCTGAGCAACAGGGTCACCGGTTCGATTCCCACGTGGGCCAGTTAGCTGCGCCTGAGCTGAGCTGCCACAGGTGGCAGGATGGCTCAGCTGGTGAAAGCACATGCTCCTAACAACAAGGTTTCCAGTTCGACTCCTGCATGGGATGGGGGCTGTGCACCTCCCGCAACTAAGATTGAACACGGCACCTTGAGCTGAGCGGCAGTGAGCTGCCGATGGGCAGCTGGATGGCAACTGGACTTGGAGCTGAGCTTGCTGTGTCCTCCACAACTAAGACTGAAGGACAACAACTTGGCTGTTCCCCTTCCCCAATTCCCCAACACTGTTCCCCTTCCCCAATTTCCCAATAAAATCTTTTTAAAAAAATCTGAAAATGATCTGAAGGACCTACAAAGCATTGGGCAGATTGTGAGAAAAGTACTTAAGCAACTGACTGACAAAAAAAAAATCACTGTTAAAGCTACAAATAGACCAAGATATGTTGTGGGTTGTCGTTGATAGCTTGACAAAAGTAAGCTGAAGCCAGGAACAAGAGTTGCTTTGGATATGACTACACTGTCCTGAGATCTCTGCCAAGAGAGGTAGGTCGACTGGTTACAATATGTCTCATGAAGACCCCAGGGGTGTGTCTTATTCTGAGATTGGAGGACTATCAGCACAGATTCGGGAATTAAGAGAGGTGATAGAATTACCTCTTACAAGCCCAGGATTATTCCAGCGTGTAGGAACAGTACCTCCAAAGGCTGTTTGTTTCATGGACCACCAGGGACAGGAGAAACACTCTTGGCACGAGCTGTTACTAGCCAACTGGACTGCAATTTCTTAAAGGTTGTATCTAGTTCTATGGTAGGCAAGCACATTAGTGAAAGTGCTCATTCAATCAGAGAAATGTTAAATTATGCCCGAGGCCCACCCATACATCATTTTTATGAATGAAACAGATGCTATTGGTGGTCAGTTTTCCGACAATACTTCTGCTGATAGAGAGATTCAGAGAACTTTAATGGAGTTACTGAATCAAATGGATGGATTTGATACTCTACATACAATTTAGATGATCATGGCTACAAACCAACCAGATACGCTGGATCCTGCTTTGCTTCGTCCAGGAAGATTAGATAGAAAAGAATACATATTGATTTACCAAGTGAAAAAGCAAGGTCAGACATATTGAAAATCCATGCAGGCCCCATTACAAAGCATGGTGAAATAGACAATGCAGCCACAGTGGAGCTTTCAGATGGCTCTAATGGAGCAGACCTGAGAAATGTCTGTACTAGAACAGGTATGCTTGCCATCTGTGCGGATTGCGGTTTTGTAATACAGGAAGACTTCAGAAAAGTAGCTGATTCTAAGAAGTTAGCATCTGATTTAGACTACAAACCTGGGTAATTTACTCTAAGTATTTTGATGGCTGCATGACAAACATTGGCTTAATGTAAAAATAAAGTTAAGGAAAACAATGTATGTATTGGCAATGATCTCATTAAAAGTCTATGAATAAAAATATGTATGAATAACATCATAAAAATCTGTAATTTTGTAATTCTACTTTTAAGAATGATACAGAAGAAATTTGTATACTTGTTGATGTTGCATTCGTTGCAGCTGAAGTTATAAAAGACGCATGTTGCAGCTTTAAGTATTTGCTGTGTGAGCATTTTGTAAAACTGAATATGGTTTGAGATGGTAGTACAAAAGAACAGTTCTTATGACTTATTTTATGTCATTTGTTTTCCTCATCCTAAATAGTTGAAGAAAATCTGTTTGATTCACTTCTAAGAAAAAAAGATGTAGCTTAGAGCGGAAGCAACAGTATTTATTACAAGCATGAAGTATAAATTGATTAATTGTACAAAAGGCAAGAACTGGGCCAAACAAAAAAATTAAAAAAACATGACTGATTATTAAACAGTAAGGTTAAACAGCATGAAGTTGCTTCAAGAAACCAAAACACAGAAAGTTCAAATCCAATACTCCACATTTCTTGAACATAGACAGACCTTATCTACCAGATTCCAAAATGCCTGTGCTAAAAGTGGAGAAATTCAGCCCATAAGATATATGCTGATATACACACAGTCTTACTAGAAACGTAAGAAATTGATTAAAAAAACAAACAAACAAAACGCCTCTGAGTCAAGGCTTTCAGAAGATTACTGCCTATTACTCTCATGTAGAAATCACAATTCAAGTAAAGAGAAGGGAGGAAACCAAAGTCATTTGGGGGGTTGCAAGCCAATCATTACCCAACACAAATGACAAGAAACAAGTATTTTTGCTAATAGCATTGTGAAATTGTTTATTCACGCGAGAACACAGACTGTGTGATGCAGTATTCATGGCAGCCATCTATAAAAGCTGATGGGTTAAGTTGTTGGGCATTGGCCCCCATATGGAAACACTGGCTGAATCAAAGGATTTCCTCATACTGCTAATGATGTGGGAACAAAGTGAAGCCATACAAGGAGAAGGTGGGCAATGCAAAACCATGAAGCCATAGACCTCAGCTACCTTGTGTTACATATGAGTCACAACTAAGTCTGCATTTAGTAAAGGCAGTCCCATTATCACCCCCCAACCCCCGCTGACGGCGATGCCACCATGACTGGTTCCCCTATTGAATACCCAAAATGCATGCTATATGGAACCAAGAACAGAAACAGAAGGTTCTTAGAAACTTTAGCAGAGGCCTCCTCCAAAGCCCAACTTCAAAGCTGGAGATTTTGACAAAAACCTCTTTGGGATCTTGGAGATAAGAGAAAATATGAAGGTGTTGGTTTGTCTCAAAGCATGCTTACATACATCGGTCCCCTAATGTGTGTGGACTCCTCAGTTTACTGTGAAAGAGGCTCACTTCTGTCTTTGTTCTCATCACCTCATTCCATTTTTGCTACTGAGTCACTAGATCATGGACAAGCACCAGTTTGTTCAACCACCGTGGTTTCTGCTCATAAAAGCTTTTCCTAGGCCCATAAGTGAGAAGAGTCTCATCTGATCAGATATGGCGGCTAAAACTGCTACATGGCCAAACAGATGTTAGCAAAAGCTGGAGATAAATATCCCCTCATTCTTACGGAAAATTAGAAGAGTGATCTAGTCCAGAATAAATTGGTCTGCTTGATTTAAGAGACTAGCTAAGAGAAGTGGTCAAAATTCATTTTTATTTGTTTGGCTTTTACAAATGATAGCTTAACCTGCTTTCTGAATTTAAAAAAAAAAAGGAACAAAAGTAATGATTAACTAGCCATGAGATGAATTTTGAAAATACATGTCCTGATGATCTTAGCACAGATTTATTCTCAGCTTGCTCCGATGAGCAGCATAAAGTCAAGTGTATATTCTGTGCAATTTCAGATAGCTGAAAAGCTCTATTCACCTATGATCTCAACATTCTAGAAGGAGCACAGGTAAGCTGGACCATGCTCAGAGAAGTAGATACAGGATGATATGGGAAACTGATACATTTTGGGAGGATTACCAAAGGACCCAGGGATGCGTGGTCTAGAAAAGACTGAGGGAATAAGTAATGGAGGGCTATTTTTTAAATGGTCTGGAAAATTGTGTGAGAAAGGCTAGACTTGTTTTGTGTGGCCCCAAGGTTAGAAAGTCACCGTAAGGAAGACTTTTCTGTTGGTCATGTCCAGAGAGGAGGTGTCATGCGTTCCCACTCCCTGGACGTGTTTGAGCCGAGGTTGGAGCCACTTCACGGAGCTGCTAAGGAAGCGATCCCAGCACCTGCGGGGTGGCTTGAGGACGGCCAGAGACAGCTTCTTTCGGTTGCCTAAACTCACCTCTCGTTCTCAATGGCTGTCCCTCCAGGTCAGGGTTTAGGCACGTTGGCACATTACATTGGCGTTTCCCAGGCTGTATCTGTTCTGTGGATAAATAGAGCATTTCAGTCTCCAATGTGGTCAATTTAGCACACTTCACAACACAAATAATTTAACCAGTAATCTCTTGGGGCCATTTTTGGGGTCATTGTTATTGTGGATTATTAACATTTACTGGACACATCCTAGATTCTAGGGTAGAGACGCTTGGGGTTTCACTACAAACCTGCCATTCAGGTAAATGAAATGCAATTGAAAGCAGGAGAGCATCTAAAACCATCCCCAAAAAGTCCAGATTCCTACCCATCCCCCCAAAAGCTCAAATTCCATATCTCTTAATATGAAATGAAAAAAAATGAAAGACTAATGTCACAGCCATGAAAAAAAAATTTTTGATGCAAATCAATAAATACATAAGAGATGATTTGGGGCCATGGCCAGCAAGTCATACAGAAACATGTAGAACTGGTAGCAAAGAAATGACAGGCCTTGGACTGAGGGCTGAGAAACAGGAATGGGGGGTAGGGGCAGAAATGGAGGGGTGGTGCTTCAGGAACATTCATTTCCTATGAAGATGAGGCAAAGCAGCAAGCTATCAGGTGTGCATGGACGGAGAAGAGGCGGGTGTCCTGTGAGTGAGCAGGTGCATGCGCAGGTGAACGGACCATGACCCCTGTTTTCAAAAGCCTTCCTCAGTGTGTCTCCATGACCAGATAGAGCTCTTCTTCCGGGGACTGACATGAGTGACTGAATCAACATATGTGGTATAAAGTGACATGCCATCTAACACTGAATTACACATTCTTCGGCTCTCCTCTGGTCTTAGATTTGGGGAGACCATTTTTAAAAATTTTTATTAAATTTATGGGGGTGACATTGGTTAGTGAAATTATATAGGTTTCAAGTGTGCAATTCTATAACACATCATCTCTACATTGCATTGTGTGTTCACCGTCCAGAGTCAGTTTGGGGAGAATTTTTACAGCACTAATAAAAGCAAGAATATTAAGATGAAGCTCTTGTTGGACTTGGTGACTAGCGAACCAACTTGGAGGATGGAAAACAAGCCCGGGACAACTCAGGTAAAAGAAATTCAGATAGCACGTAAATGGCAAGTATTAAATGACAAACCAGAGTGACATGAACAAGGCTGAAGTTTGGTTGAAAGTGAAAAACTCAGTTAAATGGGTTATTTGGCATCATGTAGATTTTTTTTCTTTTTAGATTAAAATTTGGATTGGAAATTGAGATCTATTTGCCCTTTTATAACTCTACTGAGTCAATCAAACTGGGTCATAAATGTAGTCAGGATGTAAAATGGCTAGCTTCGGAGGAGCTCCCTGCTACAGAAAACAGTAGAAAGGTCAAACACTCTTTGGAGCCCCCCAGGTCAACCTAACAAAAGCTGGGCATTTAATGATTAAAGAATTAACCAAACAAAAGCTTCTATTCTCAGTTCCTTACACAGCTTCAGCTCAGTAAAGAGCGAAACCAAGTCCTCTTTGGTGTGGACACAAAGATTTCACCCAAGCCCAGCAAACTCTCGAGTTCGGATATCCAACATCTTTCTCCTTGTCTCCCATGCCTGTCGGCCATTTCATTACTCACTACCACTTATCACTAAAAGAAAGATAAAACAACTAAGCCTTTAAAAGGCTAGGAACCCTTATAAAGGCCAGGGGAGTTGAAACAACCCGTTAAATGTAAGATTGGGTATAGTGTGTGGGATTTAGTTCTCTAGAACCAGTTTTGTTTTTTGTTTTTTTTAATGGGGGTAAATAGGGTGAAATTTATGTAAATATTATGGTTTTGAAAAAAAAATAACGATATCTCAAGATTTTGGTTTTGTGGACATTATAATTCTTGGCCATAAGGGAGGATATGAAAATAATCTCCTATAACTGTAGCCAGCAAGTACCAACCAAGATACTGAAATAGCCCGATCCCAGTGCCCGCCCTCCAATCCCAGTGATAAACCCTGACATTTTCCAAGTGTGTGCATGTAGCAGAGTGCCTTCACACATGTAATTTTGTAATCCAAATGACCCATTTAATTCCAAAAAAAAAAAAAAAAAGGGAAAGCTGGCACTCCAAAGAGCAGGACTGTGGCAGTACTACTGGCTGGAGAAAATAGTCCATGTGCAGAACGTGATAACACAAGTTTAGGAAACGCGGAGTGATCATGTTTAAAATAGACATGTCATGGCAGCCAGCTCTTACTTTAAAATTGAGGTTAGATGCAGCTCCATCTGCATGAGAGTGTGCCGCTGCAACCTGGCGACCCGGCTGACTAAAACACAGAGCTTACATTCTCAAACCTATTGGCAGGTCATGACGTTGCTAAGCTGCACTGGTTATTATTATCACTATTAATACTCCCTTCTTTCTTGGTACTTTATAAAACAGAGAATATTGATGATCTAGTGTTTTGTTTTGTTAATTTGCATCCTAGCTCCACTCCCTCCTTCATGCATTTACATCATTTAACCCCCAGAGAGATATCCAAATTTGTGGAATCTGGGTCTTAGAGGGGGAAAAAAAGGGTTGGAAGAACAGGTGGCTCTAGAACACTTGGAAAGTTTAAATAGAGTTATTAATCACTTTAGGGTTTTTAAAATTACTTGAACTACAGAACACAAGAGAAGATCTATTCCTTAGCAAGGGAGCAGAGGGGACACAGAGAACGTGGCATTAGCTAATCGGAGAGGTAAAACAAGAAAAAAAAGTGTGACCCACCAGTGTCCCAGTTGCTGATGTTATGGGGGGCGCTAGACTGATGTTCCAGCTGTCGCTTCATTAACTGGCTCATTGTCAGAGCTCCCAGGGATCCCCTTTTCATCTGCCTATACTGAGCTATATGGAGGAAATTAGGAGATGATTACTAGGGGGGAATTAATTTGCACGGCACACAAAGGCTCTACACATCCCTCTAGAATCTTAATTGAACCTTCATCAGCTATTCATAATTGTTTGGTAAATTGTATGCTTCCGTCCAGGTGAGAAACTAAGGTACAATGTTATTCCGGGTAACTTTCTTCACTCAGTAAAGAAAGCAACAGTACCTATGAGCAGTTAGTTATCTGCAGCCTGTAAATATTTACCCCAGTAACAATAATATGATTATTGTCATTTACTTTTTGATTTATATACTCTGCCTTGTTCCAAAAGGTCCGTGTGTGTGTGTGTGTGTGTGTGTGTGTGTGTGTGTGTGTGTGTGTACACTTGTATCTTTTGGAGTAGGATGATACATATCAACCCCAATTTTTAGAGAGAAATTGAAGCAAATGAAATTATGTTCCTTGAAACCAACCAGCAAATGAGGTGGTCAGGAAACCAAAACATGTTGACTCTAAAGTCAATGCTGTTTTCAATCTCTGTATGAGCCTCCACCTACCATTTGAAAAAATGTGAATCGCGTGACATTCCACAAGTACATTCTAGTACACATCTTTTAGAAAATAGTGGTAACATTTTTACCTTGCAATGAGAAATAGGAAAATATCCCGACAATGAAACGTCAAGTTATACGCATTTCCAAGCCAGAAAGACGACAAAAAGCACTTCTGCCAGTCGACCGCTGAGTGAGAAAGCCACCTGCCTCCTGCCCTCCCGTTCCTCTGCGAGTGGTCCCACCAACCCCTGTCACCAGCAAGACCCAGTGAGAACAGCAGAGCGTTGATGAGGTGCCTTTTCTGCATGACCCCAAACACCGGGATATCTGAGAACTTGTGGTGGTGATTCGCTCTCTTATAAGGACAATTGCAGAAACGGAAGCTCTGGACTACGTGGCCTAGAAGGGGGTGGCAGGAACTGGGGTGAAAGTATGGCCCCTAGAAAGCCTTATATGTCACACACAGGTTTTCAATTGTGGTACTAAGGCAGCAGCTTGATGTGATATGAAATCAATTATAACATTATTTTTAATGTAATTCGCATGCTGTTTGATTCATGGTGGTCATGGCATGTTCAGCTACAAAATAATCAGCTAATTAACTGATTAAAAGAGAAGACTGTGATGGGAATTCTTGTGTCTTGGAGTCCACGTTAACAGGATTCATGGAAATGACTGTGCAAACTAATATGAAACATCTCTGATTCTTCTGGTTCGTTGGAATAATTTACAATTATGAGTCACTTGAAAAGGACAGCTTCAGTGAAATTCAAATGCAGAAATCTTTTAGAAGATTTAACAAATTTAAAAATTAGCAGCATCTGTCAGCCTCAATCAAAGAAGAATTTAAAATCTCCAGTGACTGAATGATTTCTCCAATTCTCAGTTGTTTTTAAAGACAAAAGAATTCCCTGAAAGTAAAGTAAAAATCCTTAATGTGTAGCTCAGTGTACAAGGCGCCTGGCATTATGCCTCCAAAAACACATCACCAAGAGCTCTCTCCACTACATGCTTTTAATGAAGAGGAGAAGGAAGGTGGAAATCTAATGGTGTGCCATGCTAACTCCAAAAGGGCTAGATTCAGTCATGACTTTGGGATTATGACACATTTGATACATTTATTTTATGATACATTGAACTAGCCCTGAAGTCAAACTGACTTAGTCATCCTGACTATCTCAAATTATACCCAACTTAGATGTCTAACTAGAAATCATTATTTTTTTTTGAGATGACTCATGCAAATTAGGAGAAAATACACTCATGATTTTTGTATGTGGACTTAAAATTTCATCATGTTATCAAACAGATCTTTTGTGATAAAAAAGAACAACTAGATTCAGAATTAGCCCTTCTTCTTTGCGACCAAAAGGGCAAACAACTGTCACTTGGAAACTCTTTCTTAGAATTCCTATAGCCTCTACTTCAAATGAATTTGAATTATTCTAAGGCAGTGTGGTATTGTAAAAAGAGCAGGGGCTTCAAAGTCAAACAGACCTAACATCAATTCCTGTCTCTACCACTCAGTAGCTGTAGGCAAGCATTTAGCCTCTCTGAACCTCTTCGTTTTTAAATCTGAAAATGGGGTCAATAACATCTGCCATGCAATGCTGATTGTAAGGACTGAATAAGATAACACCGTGTGTACACCACTTAGCGTAGTGCCTGGCACATGATAATGTTCAATAAATAGCAGCTATTATTACTATGGTGACTGTAAACTCCCTGAGAACAAGGTGGGTCTTATTTATTCACATTTGATCCCACGTGCCAAGCACAGTGCCTGGCACCCAGCAGACACTTAATAGTTGTTGTTGAATGAATGAATGCATGAATGAATGAATGATGAAGATGATGATGTTTTCCCATACTACCAGTCCAGCATTTAAATTAGAAGATCTTTATCTGATTTTTCAGGATCATCCTCATTTCAAAAAAAGAGTCCAATGAAAATTAGCCAGCTTCTCGGGCAGTGTCCACATGGAACCCAAAATATACCAGCATACTGCAGAACTTGGACCTCTGTTTGTATCTCTGATTCCTGCTGAGAATTTCCCATGCTAACTCACTTATTAGCCTCCACTGAGCCAGGTAGACACCCTTATCTTCACCTCAGTGCAACTAAAACTCCTCAGGACAAAATCTAGGACCCAACAGCAGAAGGCAAGTTTCTAAATAGTTGCCTCTTATAGATCTGATAAAATTTCATGCCATTTTTATTTTCTGATCCAAAATGGCTAGGTTCAGTCATGACTTTGGAATCATGATATACCTGATACATTTATTTTATGATAACCCACATAAAAGTTTGCCAGTGATGGAGGTGATACAAATTCAATAAAGGTGTTCCGTGTAGAATTCTGCTATGAACAATGCTTTTCATTTGCCCCAAAACCAGTTTCGTATTTTATGTTTAGGCTAGTAATATACAATCTTATTTTATTGAAAATCAGTGATTATTCCTTAACAAATTAGGGTTCTTGGCCAATCGATAACCACACTGATTTATCAGACGAAAGTGGGCCTGCACTTCAGGGTCTCTAAGAACATACAACCTAGTGTCACCTAGGAAGCTAACACAACATTAGCTAAAGAAAAAAACAATACCAAGAGTGTGGAAATTGAACATAATGCTGAAGATAATGTTCCAAAATCAATGTACAAGAAATCTTACTTGATATTGAGGAATGGCTAATTGTTTCCGGCACACCTGCTTCTAATGTAGGGGCAGATGCAGATTCTCGTGGCATTTCCAAAGTTGAAAGTCCTTTAGTAGAGGGATCTACAAACAGAAATGTTATTTAAAACTCAGGACACTGATTAAAAGCAAGTTCAAGAACCTTTTCCATATATCTTTTCCCTGCTTGCCTAATACACCCATTACACGTATATTGTATAACCATTATATACCATTACATGCTTCCTGACCCTCCTAATTAGTCTAATGGAATTACATACACACTGGTTTCAAAGTTCCATGGAGGATTGCTTGCACATAATACTCTGCATCTGTGGATATGCCCCTCAGAGATTACTGAGAGCACAATTACAACAGCAAAACGAGGCATGCGCACACTGCCTGCCCTTGAGCAAGCCACTTAACCTTTCCAGAACTGAACTTCTTTTCATCTAATACCTAAACCAACTAATGCTTACAGTTCATTCCACCTATATCATTTCACCACTCCACCTTTGTCTGGCAATTTCCTTTTACATGTCCATTTATACAAAAAAACTCCTCCTCCAGGAAGGTTTGTAAGACTCCTCACCACCACCCCCCAAAAAAAAATGCAAAGAAATCGGATCAGGTGACACTCTTACGTAATTCCAAGGCACCCTGTCCTTAACCTCTCCCTAACCTAACACACTAGAATGTAATTCTCTATTTACTTGTCTGTAACTTTTCCTAAACCACAAGTAATTTAAGAGGAGGGGCTGTCTCTAACATGAAATAAATACTTACTGTTAACTCAGATTTTAGATTTTATTAGCTGAGCAAGAAACAGACTGTATCATTTGCTTCTTCTCTTTGACAAATGTATTTAAGGGGAAATATTTTCAGCATGTGATATTGTCCTATTAATCTATCAATAATGAGAAACAAGGTGCCCCACATTATTCTAGGTGAAGATTACCCTTTAAGCCTCTTTGAAAACTTGAATGAATTTATCACAGCAAACCTCCTACAATTCTTTACAAACCTCCTTGCCACCTTAAGCAGCATTACATATTGAATGAACATAGTGAGCAACTTGGAGCCACCACTATGGGCTTTCATGATGGCTCCATGCTGTACGTAACTCAGGGATACCTGCCCTAAGTGGTTTCAAGTTCTTAAGCTTAATAATGTCCCTGTCTCATCCTTTTCTTATGGTCAATTGCTTTTTCTTGCCACAGAGCAAGCCATCCTACATACATACAATTTAAGTATGAAGATGCTATTCTATTATTGGATAATCACAAAACTTGCAAAACTGTAATAAATGAAAGAAAAATACATCCTAGGTGAGAGCCTGAGAGAAAATTTTTGAAACATCTATTTTTGATTTTCAGGTCTTTCTGAATAGATATGGTTGCCAGGTTAATAACTACTTGATGACAAAAAAAAAAAGCATAACTGTAATAATGTTTCCCAAACTCTCTTAATAAATCATAAATAACTACCCATTTTAAATTACCTTAGTCATTAAGATATAAAAGACTGGGTTATTCTTTTTCTCTTAGATATTTTCCCCAAACCACTAGCTAAAAATGTGCATAATTACCTCTCTTACACTTATCTGTTTTATGTAAGCTGCTACAATGGCATAATAATCCCACCAATAACGTAAAATAAGAAAGCTTAAAGCTAATTTTGAAGAATCCTTTGAAAGATTATTAAGAGTTTTAGAGTTTTGGTATTGCTTATTAAGATCCTTGGTATGTATTTAATTTTAAAGAAATTACTATAAGATAGTTATTAATAATCATTAATGTACCAAGATTTTTTAATCCATGTAATTTTTGCTCAGTCTTAAGTCATTTTAGGAAGCTTTCCAATTTTATGCAGTTTAAGATACTTGAATAGAGCTATACACTTAGCTTAAAATATCCGTTCAATGTTTTTATAGTGATGTGCAGAGAATGTCATACTATTAATTAATTCATTCAGCAAATATTTTCCAACACTCTACTAGGCACTTGGGATATAATCGGCAAACAAACCAAACAAAAATCCTTGCCTTTAGGATTTTTTCCTTTTAGTGGGAAGAGACAGACAATAACATGCATAAAAGTAAATAAATGATTGCCTGTTAGAAGAGTAATTCTTTGTAGCAGAGATAATAGAGAAGAGAAGGAGACTGCAAGATGCCAGGTGAGGTAGAGAGATGTGGTACAGTCCAGATCTCAATGAGAATGTGATGTTTGATCAAAAAATTAAAAGAAGGGAGAAAATGAGTCAGGTGGATATCTGGGGAAGACAGTTTCAGTCTGAGGGAACAGCCAGTGGAAAGGCCCTAAGGCAGACTATGTAGGGAGTGTTCAAGAAATGACAAGAGGCCAGTGTGGCTGGGTAGGAGAACTGTAGAGAGAGCAGTGCAAAATAAACTCCGAGAGCTAATGAGAATCAGGACCACGTAAAGCATTCTAGGAATTTAAACAAAAAACTTCTACTACAGAGGGTGCCAAGAAAATGTATACTCAATACATAGTCACATTTGACTTCTGCAATTACAAGAAGTGCTCAAAGTGGCTACCATCAGTGTCCAGACACTTCCGATTACAGCAAACTACTGCTATATAGATAACATCTCTTAAAATGTTTACATATATTTTTGGTACCCTCTGTATTAAAGAAGTGAGGAGCCAATGGAGGGTTTTAAGCAGAGGAATGGTATAATCTCATGTTTCAAAGAATCACTGGCTGTTGTGTTGGAAAGATAAGTCAACAAGGTTAGAAGGCAGGAGACTACTTAGGAGGCTAAGGCAATTTGCCCAGGTGAGAAATGATGGTAGCTCAGACCAGAACAGAAGCAGAGAGGTAGTGAGAAGGGTCCAGATTATTTTTAACGTAGAGTCAGGTGACCAGATAAAATGGAGGACATCCAGTTAAAACTTAATTTCAGATCATCAACAGGTGATTTTTTAGTATGAGTAGGTACCATACAATACTTGGGAGATGTGGACCTAATTCTTTACTCCTTCCTGAATCCATGTGACTTTGAGGTTCCTCCCACTACAGAGATAGAGTATATTTCCCCTCTTGACCTTGAGTTCAGCCATGTGATTGATTTGAGCCAACCGAATGTTTGCAAGCGTAACATGGCCAAAGGCTTGAAAAGTGCCTATGCCATTAGGCTTGCTCTGTTACGCCTCCTCCATCACCATGAGAAGAATATTCGGAGGTTTCATGGGTCCCAAGAGGAGACTGGCCACCCAGCCAAGCCCAGCCAAGATTAGCCGATCCCCAGATAATCGAGAGACTCTCAAACTGCTTATTGTTGGATGCTGCTGAGATGTTATGCTTGTTACACATCATTATTCTAGCAGCTGGTAGAGTCATCTCAGCATACAATCTGCAAAACCGTATGAGTAGATGGGCTCACTAAGAGAGTGAGTGCTGACCTTGACAAGTGAAATTTGGGTAAACTAGTGAGGATGAAAGCTTCATAGGAACGATGAATTCTTTTTAGAAAGAATGGGATGGGAGAAAAATTGAAGATAGCGATAGTATAGACAACTCTTTTAAAAGTTTTCCTAAAAGGGGAGGAGCAAAATGGGTTAATAATTGGGAGGACTTGGGCTCAAGAGCTTTTGCTTTTTTTTAAAGATAGTGAAATAAGATGATGTTTCTATGCTCAAGTCAAGAATCCTTTAGAAAGAAAAAGCTAAGGGGGAAGAGAGAGGGGAGAATTTCTGGGCCTAGATCCTTGAGTAGGTAAGAGAAATGGAATCTTGTCAGCATGTGGGAAGGTTGGCTTTAGACAGGAACATAAGACAGCCCCAGGCAGGAAGGCCAGGTGTATGAGTGCAGTCGCGGGAAGGTAGGAAGATGAGGGGGTAGGAGGCTGTGGAAATTTCTTCTGACTATGTTCAATAGGAAGAGGTATTGAAAGTTTAGGTGAATACAGAAGGCCACACACATACACACACAACATACACACTACAACTTATATGTTCTATATACCCATCCTGTAGACCTTATGTGGTTTCTTCTATACTCACTTTATAGACCTCTGTCGTTTCCAGGCCAATGCCTTCTTCCATCTATATGCAGACATTTTCCTGGCTCTAAGCAATCAAGACTATCCCAGTTTCCCTAGCAACCTTGTTAAACTTTCTTGTTATAACCAGGATCTTCTTCTTCCCGCTTCCTGGCCGGAGCATCACCGTTTCCAAATACACCAACGTCCACAGGACAGATTTTTACAGAGCACCTTTGAGGTCCACAGCTCTGTTCTATGAGGTAGAAAACAGCTGGAAACCTCAGGAAATCCCTGGGCAAACCAAAGCTGAACCCGTTCTCTTAGGAGTGGCTTGTGTGTGGGTAGCGGGAGAAGTAGGACTAGTGGGAGGACAGTCCCTGCACTGCCCCTGCCTGGCTGTGTGACCTGGGACAAGGCACAGCACTTTCTCAGAGTATCAGCTGCCTTTCATAGGAAAATGAGGGAGTACGTTAGCCGTCTCTAAGATCGTTGCCAGTTCTCAATGTTCTAGAGTCTATGAATGTAATAAAATAATCATCTCTGACCAATTCCACTTTTTTGAAGAGTCCCTTCCGTTTTTAGATCTAAGCTGAGAAATGAAGAAGCCGTATTATGGTAATACCACAGAAGACTGTGTTTTAGGATGGGGTGGGCTAGCAGCTTGCCACTTTTGCAAGCTATCTTTCTTAAAAACAGTGCCTCCAAAGAAATACAAGAAGTGGCACTTTTAGGTAGGAAATTCATGTGCTGTGACAATTTCACCATCAACTGGTAGCCATGGATTACGGTCTCAGTTGTAACGGAGACTTTTTTTTTTTTTAAGTTCCTGAGGACACACAATGTTCACCAGACTGCTGATGTTTGGTTAAAATATATAATCAATTATAGGACCTAAATGATTATACAGTCAATTCTTATTCATTCTAAGCACTCTTTGCTTTTTTTTTTAGCCCTTCGTGTTTATTCATCCTTTGGACTATATCATAGCTCACTAAAGTATAGCAGGAAAAAAAAAAAGAAAGCAAAAAGAGTTCAAGTTAATGACTTTTGCAGAGTGAGGACGGCTAAAATGTTATTTGGACTCTCGATATGAATTAACCATTGCCTCTTATTACCAAGGATGGTCAAGACTTGACCATCGACTAGAAACAACAAATACGAAAACATTGATGGAGCCAATAGAACCACATCTGAATCCAACACGCCCAAGGAAGCAGGATGGATGCAGAGTGATTATGAAACCATTATAATGTCACTCCCTGACATTATAAGATTGAGAGTTTGATGCGTAGTCAGTGCCAAGACCCTAACAAGTAAGATGCACAAACTTGAAGGTAAGGCTGGGAGAAAGAAGATGCTCACGCTTACCTGGGTCTTTCTGTTCCCCCAGCTTGTCTAGGATGTTGAAGGAGATGTCAAGGTACTCTCTCTGGATGGCGCTGACCGCTATCTTCCTCTGCTTCCTCTGCCTGGGAACGATCTGAATCTTAAACTCCGATTCTTCAGCTCCCTCCTCTTCAACCTTGCTCTCAGGATTCAGCTCTGTATCCGACTCAGCACTCGTGTCGGGTTTCTCACCTTCTGTTGGATTCTCCGCATCTTCAGGGACTTTGAGAAGGACAGTTTTTGCCCCTGAACTTGGCATCGGCCCACCCGGCGTGTCTTCCTCGATGCTGAGCTCAGGGTTATCATCCAGGGACAGCTCGGGAAGAGCGAATGACTTCTGAAGGAGGTCTCGTTTTTGTTTAAGTGTGAGCGGGCTGCCACAGGAAAACTCTTGCAGCTCCTTCGGCTTTGATAATTCCTCAGAGTCTGTGGGGTCTTCCAAGGCTATGAGACTGGAGTCCTTGCCACCTGCAGGCTGATTATTTCCTGAGTCCTTGGAAGAAAAGTCTTTGGAACAGTCCTCCACGCTTACTTGCACAAGGGGCATTGTGCTCAGGCTGAGGACAGAGGGGTGGCTGGGGATGGAGGGCGAGGAGGCAGCATTTTTACCAGGGGCACCATCATTTCCTTGGTCCATGGTCTCCTCTTCGTCACTCTCTACGATTCGGAGAGGGGGAAGAGGTTCAAACACAAGAGAGTCGCTATCAGAGGTTGAGAGCACAGAGTGTTTTTCAGGCCCAGATGTTGAATCTGAGGACAAATCTATCAGATCTAAGTCCTCTTTGGGAGCAGGCTTTATTGGCGAGTCAACTTTGACCTCACATGTCTCCATGCAGTTTAACCTAACTTCTGGGATTACGGGCCTTCGCGTTTCCTGAAAACCATCCACAGCAGGTTTCTCAGGAACTTCAGTACTGTCAGGCCTCGTAGCGGAATTCTGTCTAGGACGTCCGTGGTCGTGTTGTCTTTGCACAATATAGGCAGCCTGGGCAGGAGGCTTATCTATGTCGCACCGGTCTACGCAGGACTTCCTACGGTGCTCATCTAATGTAAACAACAGGGAGTCTGCATTCCCTATATCAAGAGATTTTTGTTTTAAAGAGCGCAGCTTTTTTTTCTGAATGCTTTCTTCTCTCACACAGTGTAGAATGCTGTCTTGTAATGCACCCGTTTCTCTATATTCAGCCAGTTCTATTTCACCTGATTAAAACAGAAAAAGCTAGTACTATTTTACTGGGAGATTTCACCGTTTTTTGTTTTTTTCCCCCTCAGACTTGGGCATACAATTGGCATGAATCATAATCACCATCCCAGCTCCACCAGAAAGTAAAACTGACTTTCTGGCCAAGTTTTTGTAAGGTTCGTTCTAATTTCAAAAACCAGAAACCTTTGGAATGGAGGAACCCGCCATGGTAGTTTAAGATCATGTTTCCAAAATCAGGCTTCGGGATAATTCCTCAGCTCTGTTCATTTGTGCACAGGAGAAGGGAATCACTTTTTTGGCTGAGGCAGATCTAGGAAACTGTATTCAAATTGTGTGGAAGAGAAGCAAACATTTTGCAACAAATCAAATCAAGCAATGGCCCTCTAGGACGATCGTGATGTTAATGAGGTATCCGTCAATTCACGTATATATATAAATGTGTCTATATATATACTGTTTGTGCATACATATATATAAAATCAACGGGATTAAAATGTGTAGTAACATAATAAAATCAAGATTTCACCCCAAACAAACGGTAGAGTACAACATTTCTGCATAAAATTACTAAGAGGAAAAAATTCATACTTCTCTGAACATTCATCTCAACCGGCTGGTATTTCACCATTTTGCTGCCGCCTATCCTTTTCAATCTTGCAAAAAAAGTTTGAGACTCTTTATTGCAGGGTCCAGTAGGTGTATCATGAATATCAGATTCATCAAAAACACTATCTTCTTCTAATTGGGGAGAGAAAGTCAAAATTACACTTAAGAGGTTATTTTCTCTCTCTTAGGCTGTGTCTACACAAGCATTTCAATGAAAGCATTATATGGAACAAAATCTGGGGTGGTTTCTACGCCAGCCCAAGTCTAGCCATGGCTAGGTATTTCATCCAGGTGTCAAATCGTCCATATGTTGAACAGAGCAACCCGTTACAAAGTTGCCTCTCATCTTCCATGTGACAATTGGCAGTGTTTTCAAGAGAAGCATCTCAGTATTCCAATAGAGGGTTCGTGCAGAAAGTTTTCCTATGCACTTAAAACCAAGTAACACATACATGTCAGGAATCTGGGACACTGCTTGAACATCCCTGTTTTTGGTGAATTTTTTAGGCTAATTTGGCAAAAGAAAATTAAACAACTTGGGTGGATCTCGCCCTTTCCAAAAATATATGCCTTCCTGGGACTTGAGAACTGGCATAGACACAGCCTAACAGCACATGCACCTTATGCTTTGTGAATGCAAAATACTGTACTCTACATTTGGTAATGAAACACACGACACACAGAAAAAGCTTAGAAAAGCCACTGGTCATCTCAAAAGCTCCACAAATGATTATGGACTGAAAGAGTAAACAAAGGAAAAAGAAAACAGAAAATAACATTTTCCCCTAGTTAAGTAAGACTCTTCTCTGAGGAGCTGGCCACGTGTAACTAGTATGAATCCCAGAAAGAATCTCTGACTCGTCACCCTGAGGCTCCATAAACAAACTGATCAGTTAAGAGTGCCTGTCAAGCGTCCACCTCCTCTTCTATCCCCATTTGGCCACTTTTAAATCAGAGATAAATCCAAAACACATTAATGAGGAAAGGGTTGCTACATTGCAACCTGCGAAGGTCACGTAGCAAATATTCTTCTTTCATCCTTTGGAAAGCCCAAAGCCATGTACAAAGCAGCAAGAGAAAAGGCTACTAAAATGCACTTAATACCACTATAAATGGAATTTACCTACTATTCGAGTTGAATATCACTGAAATCATAGCATTTGGCCTATATGTATACCTACCTATATAACAAAATGAGGCTCAGGTGTGAGTATGATTATATGAGATTTCTTGAATATAAGGGGAATACAAGCACCGAGTTAAGTTTTGATCCTGTCCTAATACGCAAAAGTCTATAAGTAAGTGAAATTTGAAGCAGTAGATGTTACATAAACTAAGAATCTTTTTCATCAAATAAAAAATAAACATTAACAATCAAAATGGATAAAAATCCCAGTGAACTTCCACAAAAATAAGAAAGCCCATTGAATTTCTGTGTTTCTGGGGAGATGCAACACAGTGATGGGTTTTATTTCTTTATCTCCTTTTAAAAAATATACTCCTTTGAAGAATACAGGTGTTTGAGGAAATAGTTACACAATTTCTATTACATAACTGGGAAATAATTCTCAAAAGTACTGAATGATAGAGATAGAAAGACTTCAAGATGGTGCCTCCCATCCAGAAAGGTTCATCTGTGACTGGCCCAAATACTGAGCCCACATTGAGGATACACATAGTTTAATTGAATCTACTCAATTTCCCAGAAACTAGGACCTACGCTAGTAAACAAAATATTCATCACACACAGAACTTAGTTCTCAGGGTTCCATCTATGGTCAACCCAGGCTCTTGGACCTTGCAGCAATAAACAAACAGTGGGACGCTGGCTCCGATCCGTCCTATGGAGATATTTCCAGAGCAGTCCTGCCAAATCAGATTCTATTAACACCACTATATAGCACTATATATAACATTCCAAAGGATCATGGGACACTTGGCTTTCTCCCAAGAACTGGATTAGCTGATGTCACCTTTTACAAGTCTAATTACCCAACGACATGCACTAAAGACACACGCCTTGGTTCTCCAGCTCTCACCTAGAAACAGTCAGGCTGTAATTTTATTCTATCTGAAGTTTTATTCTCCTGCCTCCTTTGCAGAAAAACTATCAATATAAAAAATATCGATATTGTAAATAATATAAATCTATACAGCAAAAATATTTCATTTCAGTTGCCTTAAATCAATTCTTACTAAGTAAGATGGCTAGGAAAAAGCAGTCCAGTAAATTTAGACTGTTCAAATCTGTGAGCACAAAGTTCGGGATCAAACTAGAGACGAGCAAGCTTATCTGGCTTCACTAAGTGGCAACCAAGATTGACCTCACAGTCCAAAGCACGGCGTTTCCATCATGTAGGAAAAGGCTTACAAAGGCTCCTTCGTCAAACAGCAGACTTTTTTTTTTATCAAACACTATCTTTTATAAAATGGACTTTAGAAGCATATCAATCATTTCTCTTGACTGCTTATTTAAAAAATTAAAGCAGTGACATTCATGGGAAAGTTAGAAAATCAATGAAGCAGTAAGTGATTTTTTTTTACTCCAGAATGATATCTGGGGGCACTCGTCTACCTCCTAAGAAAAACATTGCCCAGAAATTCATTACATATTCAAGGGATGTTTGGAGTAGAATGAAGACGTATCAAGTACCTTTTTCTTTTTCGCTGTATCTGCTTATGTTACTGTTGTCACTGTACAGAGGTCCTGCCGTGGCATGGGGCTTGCAGCTATGATATTGCGCATTGAGCGTATTGACTGTTATATGAATCAGATGCAGCAGGACCTTGCTGATGTCACAGTCTCGGTATGGATACTGCTCGATCACATGGAGGGGGAAAAATATCAATGGTTAGCTTGAAGGGTAAGTTTTCCATTTGATCTTGCTAAATAGTTTTCCCAGTGTTTCTCTGGGATGAAAAGAAATATACAGAAAAGCAAAAATACAAATTCTTATCATGGCCTTATTTTGACAAGGGATGCTAGCCCTGCCTCTCACACCACATCATGGGTGGTGATGAATGCTAGTTCGTTGTTACAATTCCTTTCAAGAAAACTGTTTGGACAATAGTAGGTGGTTACCAGAGGGAAACGGGGTGCGGGGGAGGTAGAGGAGGGTAAAGGGGGTCAAATATATGGTGACAGGAGGAGATTTGACTTTGGGTGGTAAACCCACAATACAATATATATAGATGATGTATTATAGAATTGTACACTTGAAACCTGTACAATTTTATTAACCACTGTCAGCCCAACAAATTTAATAAAATTTTTAAAAAGAAAATTATCTGGCATAAACATTTGATATATGAATACAATTTTAAATACTTTCCTTATTTTCTGACATAACAATTAATATATAGATAAAACAGGAGATTCTGAGCATAAATAGAGGTTTTCATGAATGTCCTACAATTCATCATTTTTGGCTTTAAACATTTTCAAGAGCATACACTGGCATGGCTTCCATTTCTATTTCATTCCAATAGCTCTTTACTTCTCAACCTAATTATACAATATGGCTTTTCATCTGGAGGTCAAATTATAATCCTACAAAATTTTCAATGTAGGTCTACTAAGTGCTCTCCTTGCTAAGAGAATCATTCCATCTCAGAAAAGGATTGGCTACAGCAACTGACCTTGTAAAGGATGACCAGCAAGGCCTTTAACCACATCTGCCGGATGTGAGGTTTTAGGGACCAGAGGGAACAACGAGGTGGCTGTTGGAAATAATGCCGTAGTTGAGGACAAGAGCAGTATTTGAGCACCTGAACCACCAAGGGGAGAAGGTGTTTTCCCAAGTTAATGTTATAGTCCATTACCTGAAATAGGAAAGAAATTAATAACTGAAGGAAAACTGTAAAGGACACTTAGAAGCCAAAAGGAAACATTTGAAGCATTGAAACACGGGCAAAATATTTAACAGGCATCTCACAAAATATTAAGAGTAATGGGCAGTACACATAAAAGGGGAAAGTTCAAACTCACAAAAAAATTAAAAACAAAACAAACACAGCTTGTATATTAAAACAGTTTTAATCTATTTAATTATCTATTTAGTTTATTTAATTATCTACTGAAAATAAAATTTTCAGTATCTGTTAAAATGTCCTATTAAACTATTAACTAGAATGAAACTTAGAATCAATCCAAACACCTAGTGCTGGAAATCATGTGGGGAAATGGACATTCTCAGACACCACTGACAAGAGTATTACTCAGTACAACCTTTCAGGAGAGCAATTTAGCAACATGTATTCAGGAGTAAGAAAAAGCACATAGCTTTTAATACAGCAATTAGGTATACCCTAAGGAAATAATCAGACAAGTATTCCAAGATGTATGAATAAAGATATTCAGCATCATAGCCACCCCAAATTAAAAACAGCCTCCATAGTCAACAGTATGGGATTAAATAAAAGATTGTTTTTATTAGAGCAGGCTGCTATGTAGCCATTAAACAGCATATGATACAAATTTATTTACACTATGTGAACTTCATAATAGGTTTGGTTTTAAAAAGATTATATATACATGTATCAATATGTACATTATGATCTCGTTATTAAAAATGTACAGGGCTTTGGGGCCGGCCGAGTGGCGCGATGGTTAAGAACTGGCTTGGGATGCCAGAAGACCCCGGTTCGGATCCCACATATGAGGGCCAGTGACGCAGCTAAGATGCTGAACAACAGCTCAACCTGGAGCTGGGCTGCCGTGAGTCACCGGTGACGGAGTCCCCTGCTGCAGTGGGTTGCCATAAGCTACTATGTGTAGCCGGCAGCCAGTGTGAGTGGCCAGCAGCCGCAGTGAGCGGCTGTCCAGAGGCCAGTGACTGATCTGCCTCGCCCAGGAAGAGCGCAATGATGGTGCCAGCTTGGGCCAGTGAAGCAACATCCTCCACAACTAGACTGAAGAACAAAAGGATAGCAACTTGTCTGTTCCCCTCCCCCTGATTCCCTAGCGCTGTTCCCCTCCCCCAATTCCCCAATAAAATCTTAAAAAACAAACAAACAATGTACAGGGCTGGACGAATGGCGCATTGGTGAGGAGTTGGCTTGGGATGCCAGCTCTGAGCAGCAGGGCCCCGGTTCAGATCCCACATTAGGGCCAGTGACACTGCACCCTCTACAGCTAAGATGGTGAACAACAGCTCGACCTGGAGCTGGGCTCCTGTGACCTGGAGCTGGGCTGCCGTGAGTCGACGGTGACGGCGTAGGCTGCAGTAGGGCTGCAATGGGCTGCCATACGCTATTGTGAGTGGCTGGCAACCAGCGTGAGCTGCCAAGAGCCGCCGTGAGCGGCCGTCCAATGGCCAGCGGAGCGACTGCCTCACCCAGGAGGAGTGCAATGATAATACCAACATAGGCCAGTGAATGGCAGTCCTCCACAACTAGACTGAAGAACAAAAGGACAGCAACTTGTCTGTTTCCCTTCTCCAATTCCCCAACGCTGTTCCCATCCCCCAACCCCCCAATAAAATCTTTTAAAAAAATAAAAATAACTTACATGCATATACATATATATACACACATGTATGTATGTATATGATATATACATACATGCATGTGCATATGTTATAAATTTGGAGCTAGTGCTATACACCAAAATGTTATTAAGTTATTTTGTTCTGGGTTTTCTGGAGATTTGCATTTTAACTTATTGCTTATATTTCTAAAATAAATATGCATAACGTCGATTTAGAAACAGAGAAGTGAGGAAGGGAAGAAAGGAGGGGAGGAGGGAGGGAGGTTTTGGTGTCGGAAATGGTGCATCCTCTCTTCATCACAGACAGCTGAATGTTGGTGGTCATCCATCTAGTAATCAGCAAGGAACAACTGCATACATATTGCTCCCACCTTGCTTTATTTTACAATCTATTTGAGCTGATTAATAACAGCTACCATCACGAAATCCCTGGCATGAGACAGGCACTGGTTAAGGTGCTTTGCAATATGTTGTCTCTGATCTTTTTAAAAAAATCTGTTATCAGTGAGCAAACAAGCAGAGGAAGCCTAAGGCCATTACAGTTAATGACAGTGGCAGAGTCAAAATTCATATCCATGTCTCTCCAGACCCAAGTCCTTTGCCCTTTGCAGACTGGGGCAGCTTTCCTGCGGGGGTGAGGTTCATAGCACTAAATGAGGCACACATTTACCCCACAATCCATTAATTCTGCTCCTGGATCCACATCCCTAAGGGATTCTTACATTGGTGAATCAGGTGCATGTACAAGGATGTTCACTGCTGAGCTGTTTGGGGCAGTGAGGAGTTGGGAGCAATGTAAGTGTCCAGCACAGGAGGAATGAATAAAACCTGGTAGATGCACACCATGGTGTATGATACAGCAGTTAGGAGTAGCAGACAAACATGGAAAGGCCAGTGATGATAATGTGACATGAAGTAAGTTGTATGATTCACTCTACTCCACTTGATGCCAAAATGGAAGAGGATAAAAAAAGAAAAAAACACCCACAAACAAAAATCTCACACTCCCTCATTATTCAAAGGGCAGAGTTTCGATGTAGGATCACGAAAAAGTCTAGAGATGGAGAGTGGTGATCATTACAGAACAACGTGAATGTCCTTAATGCTACTGAATTGTGTACTTAGAAATGGTTAAAATGGTACATTTTATGTTTATTTTACCCCACAAAAGAAAAAACTCCCAAACTCCCTGTATGACTTAAGGCTGCCGAGTCTTACTCATCTTTATATTCATTCCCCTTGACACAACCCTGCCTAATAAAGTAACTTGTACAAACCTAAATGGAATCTAACTACTTGTTCTAACCACATGACTTCTGAAAGCTGTTAATTCCACTTACTTGGGCAATTCCTGCAATAAACGCATTAAAGCACGTTGACAGGCGCATCTTTTGAGGCGCGATCATGAAGCAGCCCTCCTGCTGGTCATAGCCAAGCAAGACGTACAGGTGCCGCTTGACCGTGTTGAAGGCCTTCGCACTGCTGATGTCCGACTCGGCGCTGCTCTCATCCTTGGCCATGAACTTCATGAGCACTGTAATCAGCTGGTGAACTGTTTGGTGGTCGATGCCAGCATCTTCTGGGAGCAGGTCCTTGATGGTGTTGTCATTCTCAGGGGACTGTTGTCCTGTCAGTAAAAGGGAGGCCATCAGTGGGAGGGGGCTCCTTCACAGTAAGCTCACACTAAACCTTCACATATTGATAAGGCACCTTTCTTTCTTCTGCCACTGAATATTTAAAGGTTCTGTTCTAGGCCAACTTAAAGGCACAGTGTGGCCTACTAAGCAAAGCATTAGTCCGGGGGGGGGCAGGAGGGGGGTAGTTATTATGTCCACCAATAAACAAATAATTGGAGAGTAATAAGGGAGTGGAAATGAAAAAAGGCATTACAAAGCTAGGCCATCTTTGAACAACAAGACAAATACTTAAATAAACGTTGCATTTAGTGAATTTTTAAGTATCTTGCCAGAGTTTTATCCTCAGTGATTAAAAAAAAAAAAAAAAAAAGAAAAGTTTCCCTTCCAGCTTTGGAAAATAAGTATGTAAGAATAATCACAAAAATAATATTCTAAAATCCACTGAGTTTTGTTTATTATCTCAATTCAGGTATGTTCATAAATCAGCTGGTGAAAAAAAAAGTTTTCTTTTTCAAATCCTGAGATATCATCAGTGTAGTTTTTGAATGATATAATCAAAATTAGACATAGCAAATTATAAGCCCTGCTGTATGTAATGAGAAACATATGGGTGTGGGGGGAGGCATAGACAGAAAGAAGCATGAACTTTAAAAACAGAAAAAAGCGGCACATGAAGGTGAGCTGAAAACTCACATGGAAAGAAAAAAATACCTCAGCTCTTGACTTACTCTTAACCTAACAAACACAGTAAAACCTTGGATTGCAAGTAACTTGGTTTATGAGTGCTCCGCAGGACGAGCAAACATTTCTAATACACTTTAACGTGATAAATGAGCGATGTCTTGCAATACGAGTAGTTTGTTTCCAGAACAAATTATGCTCGCAAACCAAGGTATGACTATACTTATATCTGAGACGCTCCCTGGCATTGGCTTTCTCTGTTATTTTTCAAGGTCAGAAACGATCCCTTGTCTCCTGTTGGTCTGCCTCCTCTGATCTGGTTTAGTGCAGGGCTTTGGGGGAAGGAAGAGTGGGGTTGGCTCTTCTATATTTATGTTTGGGGGCTTATTTAAAATAACCTTTGCATTCTTGTCCTTCCTTTGACAAGCAGCATCAGGATTTCTGACCTGAAAACCGTTTTTGCCTGGTGGGTGAGGTAAGCACACACACGCCAGCTTCTCATCACTAATCCCGCAAGGAAAAGTTCTGCTGATGACTACTAGCTTTGACTACAAACCATTATACACCAAACTTTGGTCACATTCGTTATAATTATGGCATAAAGGATACAACAAAGAGCAGAGTATCACTTATACCCATTAACTCCTCAACTAACGTGTCAAAATATCAATCTTCCGGGACACGACCAAGAGAAGCAAGATAGAGCAAATGTTTCTGGGGACTGCGGAAATTAGCTGTCTCAAGCCCAAACGCTCTCCTGGGGGCAGTGGCATGCAGGTAATGTCAAGTTCGGAATTTACTATGGTAGAGCTGCACATGAGATAGCAAGCTAGGTTGTCCAGTGTTCCACAGATGGTCAGGAGAGTGTTGGTCTGTTCAAAAGTGATACACTGAGAAGGGGTAGCTGACAATGTGCGAAGAGGCAGCAAAATCAGGTTAAGTCTAAGAGGCTCTAACACAGGGGAAAGCATCTGACAAACTTTAGTGTGGCCCTAGGACATTAACATTTTCTGTCTCATAGAGTCTGTTCATGAAGGAATAAATACATGCAATGTACTTTAGAGAAGTTTCTACCAAAAATTATTCATATAAAACCTAGGAATTTGTTTGTGATGGTGTTTCACATGCAAAGTGATTAATAAATTGTTAATATTATTATTAAGCATGCATTGGCCAGCATAAAAAAAATAAATGTATGTGGAACACCCTATTTTACCAAGAGGCAAGAAATGTGAAACACTGCTGTATAATTAAATTAAATGTTTGAAATAGAAGATCGGACCAAAAGCAATACCTATGTAAAACCCTCATAAAACAAAAATAGCAAAAGTTTAGAGACCTATCTTTCCAGTATTGAAAAATATTTCATCTTGATTATTATTTTCCTCCAGAATACTACTTTACAACTAGGAGGTTTTGCTTTGGGCAAGCTGGGGCCAAGTATGTGACGAGTGTGAGCATCTGGGTTCCCCACAGGGTTCAGTGTCATCATGGCCGCACGTGATGGCTGCTGCAATACAGCCTCGTCCTTCCATGTGGTTTAGCTCTGAGGGACAAGATTTAAGACAGCACGAACCACTCAGTCCTGCTCAGCCACCTCCGATTCCAAACTGGCTTGACTCCAAAGCCCCAAAGATAAAAATGGAACCTAGCTGGGTTTGAGAAGTTGCACCTCTGTTTTATAGCCCTGAGAACCTAGACGCCTCCTTACAGAAGAAAGGGAACTCTAGACTTGGCCCCAGTAGGACACCAGCTCCCCATTTAATTCTATCCCAGTTCAGGTCTAGACTTCACCTTTAAACGTTTCAAAACTCTTCTTCCCATTGCAGGCAGATAATCATTTAAAAACTATGAAACCTTAACTTTTCCCATCAAATCATATTTTCCCAATGGCTAAGTATCATTTCACAAATGTCCTATCCTCATTTTAGATCAATCTTTATTGATCCTCCGTACTTTAGCTTTAAGTTTGCTGTTCGTACTTTGCTTTCTCTGAATAGCCAGGAATTAATGATCCTTAATAACCCATTAAATGTACTGAAAAAAGGACTAGATAGTGGGACCTTTTGTATAAAATGAAAAACAAAAATCTCTTTTTGTTCCAGTAATGTATCCCTCCAGTGGGCTTTGCAAATCTGTGCTCTGTATGTCATCTTTCTTTAAATTAAAATACCATAGGCTTGGGACTGGTACACTCTTCATTAAGAAAAGTTACATTAATCAAATCTGTAAGAAAAATGAGTTTAGAAAAGCTGATTTTCTTTATTGCTAAAGACAATATTACTGTTTTAGTTATCTATGAAGGGTACAAAATTTATATTTTAAAATGATATGCTTACACTATTTTCTCTAAGGTGTGACAATTAGAACACTTTTGAATTCTAGTCTATGAAAGTCCTACGGTGTATCTGTTTTAACTCTAGAGATTTAACATGTTAAGAGAGTTGATTTTAACTTGAACATGGACTGGGTCCATAGCAACCTGTCCACAGCATGGCACAACCGGTTGAAATTCCAGAACATAATACAATTTTATTGATTCAGGTAATTTGAAACCAGGCAGGATCAGGACCTGCTTTTCCAGACTCATCTCCTATTTCTCCACCCCAGATGCTCACCATTCTTACGAGCTGGGCTACTCGTGGATCTCAGGATGTAGCCAACATTTTCCTCCCTTTGTGTCTTTGCTCATGGGGCTCTCTTCCCCTTGCAGGGGGGTCCTCTGCCCCCATCCCCAACTTTACCCTCTGGATCTGGTCCCCAGAAGCCATTCTTATCATAGGGGCCCACCACCACCCCTCACAGAAATTGGATGTGATTCCTAAACTCTGTAAATCTCCAGACAAAAAAAGGAGGGAAACTGGGAGGAAGAAAGGGAAGAATGGAGGTAAGTTTCCCTTAGCATTTCCAAAGTCTCAGGTGACAAATAACTATTATGCAAGGCAGAACTTTTTATTCATTCACTTGCTTTATTTCCCCTATAAGAACAAAGGCTCCTCGAAGGCAAGTACTATGTCTGATTCATTTTTATATTCTTCACAGAATACGAGTATGGGGCAGTCTGACATACAGTAGGTGATCATTATTCATAAAAGTGTACTGAATTCAAATAAATATTTCAGATTTTGTCTTCTATATAAGAGAAAAACTAATCAAGTCCCCAAACAGCAAGGAAGTGGCTACGGAAATAAGGAACACTCCTCTGTGTAAGTCAACTCACTGAAAAAAGGACTAGTTAATGGGACCTTTGTCAAACCAACAAGTGACAATTAGGTAGAGGAAGAAAGGGGCCCTTCTTAGCCTGCCTTTGGTCAAGGGGAGCCAATGATCACTATAAATAAGCTGGCATTATGGTGAAAGTTCCAGTCACATCACCTCATCGGTCTCCACAGCTCATTCGCTCAACTTAAAGCTTCATTCACAGCAGCTCTGTTGTGTGTGCACAGCCACAGAAGCGCTGCAAGGCTGGGGCCAGTGACCAACTCCATAGCCTCACATGCTCTTCCTGCCCCGTGCATTTATCACCATGCGTTTACGTCCCATCCCACCTGTCCACACACCTTCCCTGGTGCCGCCAGCTCCACGCCCCTTGCATTTGATGTGAACCACCCTGAAGTACTATCACTTTCACTCTCATGAGAATTTACTTACGTGCATAGTTCTCTCTCTCACTTGACTATAAGCAAGTTGAGAGTATAAAAATTTCTGATGAATCCTTGCATGCTTCATATTTCCAAGTACAGCAGGTGCCCAACAAATGTCTGTTCAATAGAAAATGTCATTTCCCCAAAACTATCATTTCAAACAAGGGCATTCCTATAAAAACAACTGTACTCCTTGGGTTGTAATGATCAATAGGCATTTTGAAGTTAGTGAAGATGTGAATTGTAAACTATCTCCACAAAGAAAAAGAGAGCCCAAAGAGGAGCAGTCTGGGCTGGCACACTAAGAGAGAGGCAGCAAAGGTCCATACAAGTTTTACAAATGCTACCTAGCACTGGGCACCTAACACTGGGCACCTAGCACCAGGCACCTAGCATTGGGTACCTTTTCTTGTTGATACAAATTCAGACCAAGAGATCTCAAGATTGCTCTGTAAGCTGGAGTAGAGTATCCATATCCCTGTAAGGACTAGGATAGCTCTAGACCAATCTGCAGGTTCTAACTGGAAGGGTCCTTTGGTCTGGACACTTGTGGGCTTAAGCCACACTGTAGCAGACCTAGGCACCCAGGTCAGCTCCATAACCAGACTGGTGTGCTCATGTCTCATGAGCAGGAATACCCTAGGACCAATTCATCCAGGGGTAGCTGTTGTGGAAAGAAAGCAAATGAAGTCTACTGGACTCAGGTATCAGCTCTGTCCCTAACTAGTTAGCTATATGTGGCCTTCAGCAAATCACCTAAGCAGAATTAATTAATCCCTCAGGACCTCAGATTTCCTGTCTGTTTATAAAGTGAAAAAAATAATACTTTAGATATATCCAGAGTTGTGAAACTGAAATTCGATGACTTGCATAAAAACTCTCTTTAAAGATAAAAAGGTACTATACATATATGAAGTATTATTATCATTATTATTATTATTCACCTACTATTGTTTATTTATTCCAGGGAATGAAGAACAAGGTATAATTAAGCTCCCTGTAATCACATGTGGTTGATATACTTCTTCAGTGTTGTGCTATTACAGTATACCATAACTGTTGCATTATACTCAATTAATATTCAAGAGGTGTTCTGAATCATTAAAGACAAAGAATTCATGATTCTCACAGCATCTGTGAAAATACACCTTATATCTAATTGCAATTATACCAGTTTCAGACTAGCAGGTGAGAGTGTGTATTTCATCAATTAGGATTAAATAAAGGCGCTGAGCTCCTATTAGCACTTGCTACACATGCCTTGCAAGAGAGATCAAGACATCTGGGCTTGAGACCCAGATCTGCTACCAACAAGCTTGTGACACCTACTCCTTTTTGGGAACCTCTATTTCCTCTTCTGTAAAATGAGACTTCGGTAAAATATTTCTAATGTTTCAGCTATAGCACTCTAGGAATTTTATGTATCTGCACAAGGCCTTTTATTTGACTGACAAAAGTCACAGAGGAATGCAGCTCTTCACTAGCCTTGCAGAGAATATAAATACTTTCTATACAAGTGTATTTCCGTTGCAAAATTCACTGTGCATGCTAAGATCAGAGAGCCATAAAGTGTAAATCCAGTGCCAAGAAGTTCAGCCTAAACAACAATTAAAATAAGTCTGCTTTGCTTCAATAAGAGGTCTGCAACAGAGGAGCTCATTACCTGCACTGAACAAAAGTATATTTAAGTAGTAAGTTCTTTAGTTTCCATTGAATTACTATCTTAAAGCATCCTGCACAATCTTCTGATTATCCTGGCACATCTTTGCTTCCAAGTTAAAACATTCATTGTCCAGTAAAGAATAATGCAAAAAGGAGAAGCTAGTTTGAAATTGCCATAGAAGCAATGTAGAACTTTCCAAATCTAAGCAGGTTTTGCTTGTGGTGGTGTCGCGTAAATTATCTTTATATTTAATATAAATAATGCTATTATCTGCCTCTTTTCCATCTTTTCACTTTTGGTGGGGAAATTAGATGCCTGAAGGCTTTTTTTAATGCCCAGAAACATAGGTACACATTTTCACAAAGAGATGTGATGGGACTCCATGAGTTGGATTGTTATAATGGGTAATTGTAATTACAGACTAGCTTTCCGATTAAGCCTTAAGACTAAAAGAAAAGATGGGGGTCAAATAAAGGTAGTTTGTGAAATTGCATAAGACGAATCTCAAAAAGCCCAAAGTGCAGGGGAACTGGATGGACCTCACGTTTGCAATGAGCTCAGGATCAGAAGTTATTAGTATTCTTTCTTTCATCGCAGCACAGTTGAGGCACAAGGGATGCGTAAAAAAAAGGTAGAGAGACTCTGCCAAGCGTTTGCTATTCCTTTTCTCCTTCGTTTTAAAAGAGAAACTACACCCTGGCCAACACCTGCCATCTGCCGTCATAATCTTGGAGCCCTCTCTCTTTCTTGCCTCTCTTTCTAGGGTCATTTTTAAAACATATAACACGCCGTCTTCAAAGTCTCCTTACTTGAAATTTTCCTTTCGAGACAGTTCTGGAAAGTGTATCTTAAAACTATTCTTAGAAAATAATAATAGAAAACCTGAATGTTCTATAGCTTGATACGTAGGTGGCAGTTACCAAGCTTGTCTTGGACAAAGAAGCAGGTACTGAGAACCTCCATGGTTTTCCCGATGAGTCATGGCCCATACGTGCAGATAATGTTCCATCTAATTGCCTTGCCAATGTCCCTCCAACCCTTGGGATACTTCACGATAAGCTGTAGCCTATCATGAAGCTTCAAACTATAGTTATGCTGCACCAAGCTGAATAGGATCCTATGGTCCTCCAAATAATGGAAATCCTCCTTTCTCTGAGAGACAGAAATGCATGTCGGGTTGCAAAGAATCAGGAATGGCTAAGGGGATGAATGAATGATGGTGGTTCGAATGTATATATAACCTTTCAAAATGCAAATGAAATGTATCTTTTTCCTATAGCAGATATATATGGACATAATATTTCTATGTGTAAATACACATACAAATATAAGTACTAGGTATAGTTCTAGTCATATTGGCTCTCTGGGGAAAAGTGCATACTCGGGTAACATGATGCTTCTTACTGGACCAAAAGTTAACGGGATCAAACGTCATCTGCCAGTATTAAGATGAGAAGACTTATTATGTCAAGGGCTCAAATGCTTGAGCACCAGGGGTAAGACCCTTCAAGCTTACAAATCCTAAGTACATCACTCTGGTCCAGTTAGAGACACCGCATTCTTTACCTTGTCCACCTGTGATAGACACTTGCACACGGCCCTTCAAGTCAGATGTACCCACCTGGTGTCTGTTCGGGTGTCCCACCGAGAGCTGGAGCAGACTGCTCATGCCTGGTCAACCTCACAGCTTAAAAATCAACAACAACTCTATTTAAATAAGCATTAAAAACAACTTGAGCCTAGAAAATATACTCAGTGCTAACTGCATTGGATAGCAGGGGCAAGTTTAGTTTTCCTATTTGTAATTACATCCCATAAAAGATGTTTACATCACAAAAGTTTTGTGGTTTTCTTTGCATCTCAAGAACATCCTTCAATGCTACTTTAATTCTTAATCTTCAACACTGTCATGTGAGTCAATTAATAAGAAATAACAATAAATAAACTTTATATCTCAAACTGATCAGTTAGGTTCCAAAAGAGCTGGGAAATTCTTACAGAAATTGTTATTTATTTGATCTAGGTTTTGGTTTCCAGGATCTGACTCAGTTTCAGCTGGGGCCTTGCATTACTACCAGATATTCTTAAATGGCCACTTGTTATTATTAACTTTGCTCTCTGAAACACTGGATTATTGATTGCCTAAAGGGTTTTCATTGATTCTTCCACAGTTCAAAATACCACATTTCCATAGCTTGTAAAAAAAAATAGAGAAAATGCAATAAATAAAATAAAATCATATTTATGATTAAAAATGGTTGTGTTACATAAGGCTGTCTTCTGATAAATGCCAATGAAAATGCAAACTTTTCAGCTTAAGACAGGATAAGAACTATGTTTTATGGTGTTATTTTATTAACTTCATAACAATTATTTAAAATTAAATCATTTAATAAATTTTACAAGTTAATAATATATTTAAATATACCCAATTCCTACTATGATGATTTAGTTATGAATTTTTAATTATTCCTCATTCACAAGCTATTGCTAATTATTAGAGCTCATCTAGTCATTTGGTAAGTTAAGGAAAATTTTATCCTCTTTAAGAGTGCAATATAGAAGGGCCGAGTGGCTCAGTTGGTTAAGAGCTCGCTCAAGGGTTTGAGCTCTGAGCAACAGTGGTTCGAGTCCGGCCTGAGCTGAGCCGCCACTGAGCTGCCAACAGGTGGCAGGATGGCTCAGCTAAAAAAAAAAAAATAGAGTGCAATATAAAGAAAGACCTTTAGAAAACAAGAATATGTGGTCTTTTTTTTTGAGTTGGCAATGAAGCTTGTTTTTATTTTTAAGTTATCTGGTGAAGTTGGGCAGAAATTCAACTTCTCCTCAACCTGATTGTTCCTTTTCAGATGCAACCATTATTATTGGTATTTGGGAGCTTGTTTGTCTGCCTCTATCATGCATTAAATGAAAATGCAGTCCAGATGTACACTCCACTTCCTTAGCTGCCAAGCGTCTTGACAAAGTCCTATCAAGGAAGCTCTTAGGTTATAAGGCTGGTGCAAACCCTCACATTCTAGACTTAGGAGCAAATACTTCCACTTTCACGCCAAGCATCAATGGATTGGCTGCCTTCCATGTTTAAAAACAATCCTCTACCGGATCAAGGCTTTGCTTTGCCCACAATCTGGAACAAGCCACCCAGGGCACTAACACCCCTGGGGTGACTCTCTAGGGAATCTGAGGGCCAAACCTGCTGAATGAACTCAGCTTGCTAAATTATGCTACTCTCTGCAAACACTCAACAAGACAAGTCAGCCTCAGAAAGACATGAAACAGATTTAAAGGAAGGATGGAAGAAGATACTCAACGGATTTTGGAGGTCAGGGTCTCAGGGAGGGAGAGCGCCCTCTTGGACTCCACGGGCCCTTTCACACTGTCTCTGAGGGAACGCACGCTCTTCTGGCGGTTCCTGGCGAAACGAGCCCTCTTGATCTTCCACAGTGCGGTGTCACTGAGGTTGGCAACATTGGTCCGTACAGCAGTGATAGCTTTGCAAGAGGAATTAGAGGTTAGCATCTTCCTTAGCTGGCTGTGATACAACCAGTTTGGAACAATTCACCTGTGTATATTTTCAGTATTAAAACCATCTTTCTGTGGTACATATATACAATGGAATATTCCTCGGCCATAAGAAAAGATGAAACACTGCCATTTGGGACAACATGGATAGATCTTGAGGTTATCATGCTAAGCGAAATAAGTCAGATAGATAAAATCGAGAACCATATGATTTCACGCATATGTGGGATATGAAACTGAAAGCAACAAACAAGACACAAACTCATAGACACAGATAACAGTTTAGTGGTTACCAGAGGGAAATGGAGGAGGGGGAAGTAGAAAAGGGTAATTGGGGTCAAATATATGGTGATGGAAGGAGATCTGACTGGGTGGTGAACACACAATGCAATATACAGATGATATATTATAGAATTATACATTTGAAACCTATATAATTTTATTAACCAATATCTATACCCCAATAAGTTTAATTTTTAAAATAATAAAGAAATAATTTTAAAACTTTTTCATGGATACATGACTCCATCTATCTCCCTTGATGGTAAGTCTTATATTAAAAAATAATGACTATTGCCTATCATGACTGTCACCTATTATTTTAGACCATAAGATTAAATTATCTAATTTTGTTATCACTGGATAAATAGTTGAATGACCAAAGTCTTCTCCCCATCAATTTAGAGCTGTAGGCAACTGATTAATAAACATGCAAGAGTGAATTTGCAAGGTGAAAATATATCTCACAAACTTGTTCACAAACATAAACACCATGATTGGATGACTGAATAATGTCTAAGGAACACACAGTCGCAAATGGTTCTCATAGGTACTCAATGAAATGAGAAGAATTTTGATTTTGGAACGCAAGGAAATAGTTAATCTGTGGATTACTACAATAGACATTCAACGTGCATTTGATGAACTGAGTACATGAAATCAAGGCATCCTCCATAATGGGGAATTAACTACATGCAGAGAGTATCATCTGCTTATCTAGCAAGCACAAGAATAGGAAGAGTGACTCTTTCAAGCAAGGTCTTCATTTTGCTTACTTGTAGGAAAGGGAAAGTCTTTGTTACAATCCAAATGCAGCTGAGCTTCCAAAGAAAGGGTTTCAAATCTGTTGACAAAGAACTCCCAACTCAAAGCAGGAATATCTTGCTTAAGAAAATGCAAGAGTAACAGTTTGCTCAAAATTGTGGGTCGATCTTTAACCACGGTATCAAACTGGAAGTCAAGACAAAGACACAGTCCCTGGGGAAAGGGGGGGAAAAGGGGAAGTCAGATGTAAACATCTAAGTGGCTTCAAAGCAAATACATGAAGCAAAATCGGGGAAACAAGGCAACATCCTCAGTCTACACTTACAATGTAGAATGATCCAATTGAAATCTTTCTTGATTGCAAATTGTGGTAGAAAAAAAAATACAGAAGACAAGCTCCTCCTAATTGTAGAATATCTCTTAAATTTTGACACAGAAATCTGAACTAAAGGCATGTTATTAATTTTTATGCTTCAAATAATAACCACTTAATCCAAATACCCTCAAACCAATGTTTCTTTTTTTAATATCTGTAGTTCCTATAAGAAGCATACTTTCAAAGTTACATTTTAGAACACACGAGAAGATGGTCTTTAAATTCCGTTTCTCTTTTTTTTTATAATTTTAAAAAAATTTTTATTGGGTAACAGTATGCTTTTCCCAGTTTAAATTCCCTTTCAATGCTAAATTCTAAAATTCAGAATTAAAATTTCTAAAAGAAATTTAGATTTTAGAATTCTTTTAGTAATTCTAAAAGAAAATAAAGTCATCTTGTCTTCTTAGAATGTGAGTGGAACATAGAATCTTAAAAAAAATCAAAGACGGAATGGGTGAGCATCTACTTCTCTAGTATATGAGTCTGCCATTCCCTTTTATTTTTTTAACTGAATGAAACTTAAAAACTGTAATTTATCCAATCATCCTCCTATTAATTGACTCAACTCTCATCTACTGAATGCCTCCTATGAATGCCTCCTTCTCAGGCCCTGAGAAGGGATAAGATATACATAACCACCTAATCTTATTAAGACTAACAGAGAAGGTCTATCCAAAAGACAACTGGGAATTTTCACAAGGGCGGGTGTGCAGCCACAGGCAGCGTAACCCTGTAATTTTTCAGATCCTGCACTGTTTGCCCTTTCTTCTTAGTCTCTTTTACAAGAAGGACCCTTACACTGATTGGGAAGCAGTGTACACACACACACACACACACACACACACACACACACAGTTAAGAACATGGACTCTATTATGAGTCAGACCTCAGTTTGCTCTGCCACTTACTGGCCATATGACTTTGAAATTACTTAACCTTTCTAACCCTCAGCTTTTCTATCTGTAAAATGGGAACACACAAAAGGTTACTGTGGGAATTAAATGAGATAATGTATGATAGGACATTTTCAATACACTGCCCCGGAAACACAATACCTATCTGATAAATGTTAACTCTTGCCATTATTGTTAGTTTTAATAACAGCGATATAATAATAAATCAGGTGGTAACGTGGAAAAGCAGAAGATCAGGACTTGGGAGGTTCTAGTCTTGGTTCTCCCATGAATTTACTCTGTGTCTTCTGGTAGGGTCACATTATCTCTCTGAAACTCGGCTTCTTCAATGATAAAATAGAGGTGCCAAATAAGATAAATACACAGCTCTCTCCAGGTTTCAGAGTTCATGTTTCTTTGGCTTTAATTTGTAGCATTTCATTCTGGTCGCATATTTACCTTCTCATGTTTTGCTTTGATTTATATTATAATTCACCTGCCTTCTCTTAGCATCTAGCCTCTAATGACAAGGGCTTCCAACCCAGGAGCCAGCTAAATGGTATAAAATAAACGAGCCTCATTTAAAAATCTGCCACACACACACACAATGTTACACAATAGCTACACCTGTCAGAAGTGATATCAGCACATGGACAATGACTGAAAAGAAAGTAGCAACACATAAAAACAAGACGTCTGTTAATAAGGTATGGTTCTGGAATATTTTTCCCAATTTAAACATTTCCATCATCATCATCATCATCACCACCACCATCATCATCAAAGGTGTTTATGTGACAAATAGCTCAGTGTTTAGGAGCAGAGCAGAGTACCACCACACACATCTGAGGGACGTCACCTGCAACGCCGGCCTCTTGATGGTGTCGAGCAGGAGACCGGCCCTGGTGGCCACGGCTGGGTTGACGTCCTCCACGGCCGTCAGGAAGCAGCAGAAGGCATGTGCCAGGGAATACTTCAGCAGATGGTTTTTAGTCACTGAGTGAATATCCAGAAATCTACAAATTACAGCCACTTTTTCCACTGCAATGTAAAGGCAGAGAACAAAAAAAAATGTTGAGATTTATTTAGACAGTCTAAGAACTGAACCCACAGAGATAAGGGTGACTCTGGGCCCCCGCACACTGACTTTCAATACCGAAAGGAAACGCTGCTGCCACCTTCTCCAGCATTCTGCTTCTCCTGTGCAGCAGCAACCATTTCTACTCAGTGCAGTAATTTTGTGTCAGGCAGCCTTGATTTAGCTCTGGGTTGTCTTTTTTTTTTTATGGTCTTTTCCTTTAACTTTCAGCTATATTTCAACTATTCAAAATGCCTCGATGTTCATTTCTTTGTCTGTTCCAAGGAGGTTCTGCAGACAACACAGGGAGGTGGAAGGCGCCCACCAGTCCTGGCTCGAGGTTCAGCACCCTCTACTCCCCTTAGTATGTCGTGATGTGAAATGACAACCTGTCTTCCTGGGGCTACAGAGCATAGTTCTTCCATGACATAGATGCATGCTTACTAGATAATATTTCTACTTATTCTGGAAATGTGTGTTAAATGATTCCAGCCTCTCTTAACACATAGCTTTATAAAAAGTGGCAGTGGATAATAAAGCAATATAGTTTCATGCAAATAAAAACGTTTCAGTATTTTGCTTATGCTTCCAGCAGCCTAGACTATTCTTTCTATTCTTTTCTGCTGATGGACATTCTACCATCCTTAAAGGAATCCGCTGTTAAAATTCTACATGTTCTTTGAAGTCCACTCTGACTTCCTAGAGTGGCCTTTTCATCCATACACTCCTGCAAAAATATTATTAATTTACATATGGCATTTGTGTGTTTACATATAGCTGTGTGATAGATCTTCTTTTGCGGTCTTGAATTATCTTTGTATCTTTATAGTTTCTTAACCTCCTACATGTTTGTATTTGGTCTCATCAATCAAATTAGGAGCATTTGAGAGCAGAAATCTTCCCTCATACTTTTTTATTGTTTCCATAGTATCTAGTATATACAATATGTATTCAATAAATTCACTAAAACACTTATTTTAAATATATAGTATATAAAGCATATATATATATATATATATATATATATATATATATATATATATCCATCCATCCATCCATCCATCCATCCATCCATCCATCCANATCCATCCATCCATCCATCCATCCATCCATCCATCCATCCATCCTAGGTTCTTGTGGAAAGCTGAAAGTACATAGAAAAATAAGCTGTTATGGACAGAATGTTATGTCCCGCCGCCACAAAATTCATGTGTTGAAGCCCTAACCTATAATGTGATGGTATTTGGGGAGGGACCTTGGGAGGTAATTAGGTGTAGATGACTTCATGAGGATGGGGCCCCATGATGGGATTCATGACCTTATAAAAAGAGGAAGGGAGACCGGAGCTGTCTGTCTTTCTCAGCCATGTGAGGACACAGCGAGAAGGTGATCATCTACAAGCCAGGAAGAGAGCCCTCACCAAGGAACCAAATCGGCCAGCACCTTGATCTTGGACTTCCCAGCCTCCAGAACTGTGAGAAATAAAGTCCTGTTGTTTAAGCCACCCCTCTAAGGTATTCTGTTATGGCAGCCTGAGAAGACTAATTTGTGAATCACTCATGGGTCTTGACTTCAAAGTCAAGTCAACTAAAAGAGATAAGACAGGTACAACTATAACAGAAATGCATTATAATATAAAGAGCTGTAAATGCCGCTAATGAGGTATAAGTAAAATGCTATGGGAGATCAGGGGATAAAGAAATGACTTTCCACCAAGGGAACCGAGAAAGTGGAACTCAATGGGGGCATTTGAAGGTGGTTCAAATGGAGGTGGCATTTGAACAGGACCTAGAAGGGAAGAGGGTTTCAGATGGAGAGCAGAGAATGGCCAAGGCATGGATAAGGGGAAGCAGGAAGCAATGAGGACGGAGCAATGGCATGTGAAGAAAGAAGAGTGAGAAATGAGGCTGCAGACACGGGCAGCCAGACCATGGAAGGCTTTGAATGTTTAAGGAGTCTGAACTTTATTCTCTAGTTTTTATTGAAAACCCAATAAAAATTTTTTTAAATTTTTTTTATTAGTTTCAGGTGTACCGCAATAAAATTTTTGAGTAGAAAACCAACCTAATCAGAACTGTGATTCAGAAGATTAATCTGGCAACAATCTATTCCTTAAATTGGCATCAAACAGCATAGTTAAATAGTTATCTGCTTTATTTGTATGTAATGCCACCAAAATGTTGCCAATACCATGTCGTTTTTTGCTAGAAAATTTTACAATGATCTTATTCCCTATAACATCATGTGCTGTCATACAAATACACCAGCCCCTGGGATTCATGGGGCATTAAAAACCAAGAACTCTTTGAGGTGGCCAGAGATGAGGGAACTGAACTCCAAAGTATAATAGCTAACTCCCCTCATGGAACTTACATTTCTTTGCCCAATTTCTGAGACACTAAAATACTCAGAACCACTGTGATGAGGCCCACGATGGTGCGGCAGCCCTGCTTGCTGTCCTCTGAGAACTCTCAGAGTGCAGTGACAGTGATGCCAGCAGATGGGAGGCTAAGGGAACACATCCAGGTTCCGCTAAGAACTTGCCATTCTAAGCACTAGGAAGTTACACCCATCTCGGCCCCAGACTTGGTCCCCGCTGCTTCAAGGAAAGGCTATAACAGCAGAGCTTCTCAAACTCCATTGAATTACCCAGGAAACTTGTTAGAAATGTAGATTCCTGGCCTCACCTCCTGAGATTCTGATTCAGTAGGTCTAGGATAGAGCCCAATAGTCTGCATTTTTAACAAACAGTCCCACTTACGCTGATGCAAGTAACCTATTAGGTTGACTACATGATTGGTCATTCAAGCCAGGTGACCCATGTGAAATTAAACAAGAGTGCAATTAATAAATATAATAGATAAGCATGATATCGGGGGTGGGAGGGTAATAGATGGGGGGAGGGGGGTTGTTACCTGGTGAGGGTGAAAAGGCTAACTATTGTATTGTTCTGTACACCTGAAACTAACAATAAAAAAATAAATAAAATAAATAAATAAATAAATAAATAAATACACCTGGACAACAGGCAAACTAGACAGGGTCACCCTACCTAAGGACCACTCTGCAAAATCCCATTATCGAGGAAGCTCAGCTAAGTAGAGCCAACAAGGCACGCCGGCAAGCAGGACAGTGCCCCTTAAAGAGAAGGGACGGCAAAGGAGGGCCAGAAAGAGGCCTCATCCCTGGACATCTGGTGCACTTCGTGACCCAGAGGGAACTGTTAAGCTAATACAGAGGTACCTGCTTCAAACCTCATCTTCCAGTCTTTGCTGTTGAAATTGCCATTTATGATTGTCCAGAAGATGTCAGCACCATGAGGAAGTGACAAAGCATGGAGAAGGAGAGGAACTGCCAATGAAGACAGCTGGGAGAACTCGGATTTGACGACTCTCCACAGGCTGGAAATCAAGAGGAAGCAAAGTGGTTACAGTGAGGATAATCTTTCTAGAAAGAAAATACTATTATCTTAATTTAGAAGAAGTGTAGGTAACGGGTGGCTGGCAGGTATGCTTTCAGTGAAATTCCATTCATCCACAAGACTATAACCCCCTGATAAACTTTTCCTATGCTCCGTTCTGTTAATGTTTTTTAAAAGTAACTACTTTTATGTAGCAACATAGAAAAAACACCACTTAACATTACATTTTTAACATAAAAAATTTTTTATTGTATATTATAAATTCAGGTTATATAAATGAACCATGACTGCCAAATAACATACAAAATTGATGTTAGTTATGCTAAAATGATGACGTGATAGTGATTTAAAACTTTTTTCTCATAGCAAACATCTGGGAATTTTTGTTGGTTTTGCCTGCCCTCTTCTTTGCCTTTTCCTCTTCTTCTAGCAAAGAACAACTCTTCTACTAAGAATAGCCTCTTCAACTGGCAGGGCTGTCAGTCAAGGCTCCCCCTTTTTCCTACGTGAGAGCGAGCACAAAACCCAGGCTGATCAAAGTACCTCAATACCATGAATAGAGTGATTAGACTAGGGGCGGGCATATGACCTGGAATGCCGGAATCCTTTTTCCAGGAATTGCTTTGGACTCTGAGAGAGGGAAGATCTCTCTCCACAAATCTCAGGGATGAATACAGTGTTGGTCTAGAGCTGCGAGTGACCCTCTTTTCTATCTCACAGGGTCAGTGTGCAGAGACGAAGCCAATACAGATGCAATGAGGCTAAGTAATGGGTAGGGAGGGAGAAAAGGGAGAAGACAGGGGAGAGGAGGGAGAAAGAGGAGAGGGAAGGGGAAGAGAGGGGAGGAAGAAAATCCTAGTAACACCTTATGAGTACTAGCCATGCCTAAAACCAGACCACTACTGATCAAAAACACACTGTAGCAAGTTTAGCTACGTCTCTATCAATTTCTACCAGAAAAATTCTGAATATACATTTTATTAATAATATGGTACTGGTTTCAAATTTTTTATTAATTAAAGTATTTCTTTTGGTTTTTGTTATTGTTGTTGTATTTTCTATTTGGTTCCAAAGTTAATATCAGAATCAAAACTATTTGTGACTTTCGAAAACTCCTAATGCACCACCAAGAAATTGGAGGAGTGACACACATTATCTCCATTTTACAGGGTACGTTGAGGTACAAATCATGGGAGTTGCTCGTTTCTCAGAAGTCATACTAGATCTACGGAATGAAAAGGAGCAATTTTGAAACACCGTATGCTTCATCCAAGTAGTAAGTATCAGACAAATACGGATTTAATCCTAACCCTGCCATTAATTAGCTGTGCAACCAAGAGTAAATTCCTTAACTTCTCTGAACTTCCACATCCCCCCAATGCTGGTTGCATTCAGTGGGATGGTTCATAGTGCCTGACTCATAGTAGGCAGTCAAAACCCTCACACTACTGTTACCACTGGGAGGCTAGGATGCTGCTGCTTCCAGAGCACAACAGGCCCTACGGAGAGCGCAAGGGAAAAAGAAGACATAATCTATGCCCTCAGGGAACTTTCCATTTAGTTGAAGGAAGCAAACCATATAATATACAGCACAGATAAAAAACCATCTCAGTGACAAAAACCCAGGACTTGGCCAGTCCTATACATATGGCTTTCCCAGTTCCCTAAAGCAGCTTTGTTTGGGGGAAAAAAAATGGGGGGAAGAATGTCCTTTCTTCAGGTCTCCTCATTGCCCAGAGGAGATGCTGGCAGAGTGGACGTGCTGACCTGGATGTGGGGAAGAGTAAGAATTATCTGGAAAGATCTGTGTGATGGGTGGGACAAGCAGCGAGCCCAGGCAAAGGCAGGGAAGGAACTGGGTTAGGAATTAGGCAGCAGCTCCGTTCATTGCAGGAGAGCGGGAATGCTAAGCAGGCTGCCTTTTGTGGTTAGAGCCACCTCAGCAAATGGGGCTTCCATTTATCATGAGGAAACTTCTTTAGATGCACCATTTCCACAGTATGCTTCTGTCCTCGGCTAAATTGTGTCCCCACCCAAAATACTTCACATCCACCCGGACCTCAGAATCTGATTCGACAGTGACTCTTATATGTGTAGTGTAACCATGTATCTTAGTTTATCCAAGATCTTAGTCCACTTTATACTTATTGTTTTGAGGTTATTATGAAGATCGTCCCCTCTTTACTCTCAAAAGTAGACCAATTTGAATAGTAAATTATGTGGTCAACTTCTGTGTACAGAGTGTTCACCCCCTTCCAAACTAGGTTGCAAACTTCCAAAGTGCCTAGAATAATAATGTATATAGTAAGCCCTTGATAATATTTGTTAAATAAATAAACAAAATGAGTAAAAACAGAGCCTCAACAAGGTTTTGTCACCAACTTAATCTGAACCAAACTTTTCCCTTTTTTATCATCTCATTCTTTGACGTATAAAATGAGGATAATATTTTTCCAACTTACTTCCAGGAAGATTAATTAGAACAGCTATTTTAAGGTTCTCAGGAAGAAAAATGGTATGTAAATCCAGAGCAATATTTTATTATTTTTCTTAAAATGCTGAGGTAGTCTTTAAACAAATACCTTATCAGACAACACATATGGAGAGATTTTAGATGTCTATTAGCAGTTCTAGTTCAAGTAAGAAATTACATAAGTCCTCACTCAATTATACTATACAAATATTAACTTAGGACCTGTTGATGTTTTTCTAGGGTATGTTAAATTCTTAAGCCATCTAACAACTAAAAGTCATAAAATAATCCTTATTTTATCTTTTCCATTGTTACAGTATCTAGCAAAGAAAATTACTGTTACTCATGTTGACATACTTAATAACTATGTTAAATAAAAGAAATAAAAGTAGTTCCCATAGGCGATTAAGATGTCCTGGCTAAAAAAAAACATAACCCATATGAGTTGGTAAGTCTTATTCTAATTTGTACAGATCAAGCCCAACATAAACAAAAAAACAAACTTTTAGGAAGACATACCTCGCAATCAACATATGATCCTGAATGTAGGCTAAAAATTGAGGATGTTCTTTTCTAGCAGTGTATAAACACTCTCCATGTAGACAGAGGATCTTCAGGCAATTGAGCATATTGAAAAGAATGTCTGGCTCTTCAAACTTAGCCATTTCCTATGCAAAGAACCACATGGTTACGGAGTTGTCTAAAATAGCAAGGCTACCAAACCAAAACTTCAAATATCCCAAAAAATATACCTGGAAAATGGTGTATATGAGTCTCAAAGTTACTGGAAGCTGTTGGTAGCAAAACTTCCTTTCAGTATCGTTCTTTACTGCTGGGAAGAAAGAAGTACACAGCGGTTAGCATAACTCCTCCTTTCCCCCACCATTCATGAGTTGATCAAGATCATAAAACCAGGAGGAGTAAAAATAGATATAGAACACATGCATTTTTAAAGTGTGTAATGTTTTTATTTGCTCTCTAAGCTAGCATCTATCCCTTCTATGATAAAAATGCAGGAAACCTTTGAGATTCAGGATTCTCAGCTTCCATTTTCCACTGTGTAGCCGGCCATCATGTACTGGGCTCCCTGAAGCAATCTCAGCCCAGCCCTACGCCCTGTGGCCGCTAGTCCTGCTGCTACCTGGAGGGGCCTGGGGCCTGGTTAGGTATACCTTCCTAACAAAAAGGGAAATAAGCCGGTGTTGATGGGGGGTATTCAAGTTACATTACCACCTAAGAAGGGGTTTATTCCATAGACTCACACAAAAAGGGAGCGTTTTTTGAAGTTGAGTATATTCAGATCAGAACATGGCTTTATGTTCTTGTGAAGGTCTCTAAAACCTTCGCCCCTGTGGTAGAGGGTGGCAGTATATTGTACATGAGACATGCTAGAAATAAGAATTCACAAGTTAACCAGATGTAGAAACTCGTGTAAATGGTTTCAAATCACCGTTACAAGTTTTGGCAATTCCTAGGATCGGAGACAATGGAAGTCAAACCCGCTAAGTGCATATACTTAATAGTTTATTGGGGAGTTTCCACTCTAATGTATTTTAATGCTTGTTATCAGCACTTGACTCTGTTTTGTCTAGTGTGAAAGTTTTAAAGATATTTTTAGTGGAGGACATATCTGACTGCTAGAAGAAATGGGCCACAAAATGCAGAATCAGGAAATACTCTTCACGGAACTGAAAATCACTGAACATGTGCCGACAGAGCACTCATTTGTTCCATGACAAGCTCAAGGCCATCGCCTGAAGACCCAGAAAGCAGAAGCCAGATCCGGGCACTGAGCAGCAAGAGAGGCTGGCCTTGGAAGACAATAAATGGAGACTTCATTTATTGGAGAAGACAATTTATACCTGTATCCCGCAAGACAGCAGAGAGTCAAGAAGGAAAATGGACCAGAAGCTGTGATGGGAGCCTGATGTCATGTTTGGGGGAGATGAGTAGAGCAAATGTTTAAACGAGTGAAGTTTATAACAATTAAGCAATGAAAAGAGTAATTTATAAAAAGAAATTGCTTAATTTTAACTGTTGTTCAACTAAAACATTAAATATAAATAAAAGTGGCAATTATTTGATTGGTGTGTCATCTTAGGTTTTAAAAATATATTTGCAGATTAAGAGTTCTGGTTACTGGATCATCAGTGAAATCCTTGCTTCCTTTAGACATGAATGCAGCCTGGGCCTGGGCCTCAGCACGTATAATTAATTCTAAGTAAACCAGGAGCCCCGGGTTCTGGTCTCAACCCTGCCACTAAGTAGTCGTACGATATCTGGATTTCCAAGTCCCAGACGCCAGATATCCTCAGAACGGGGATAGGCGGGCAGAGCTCATTCATTTGGTTTGTGTTTTAATTCCTTAGACGATCAGATACTCCATTACTGTTTGGCAGCATGATAAGGATACAACATAAATTAGGAATGAATAAGGGGCCGGCCAGGTGGCACAGTTGGTTACAGCACGAGCTCTGAGCAACAGGGTCGCCGGTTCGATTCCCACATGAGCCAGTAAGCTGCACCCAAGCTGAGCTGCAGCTGAGCTGCCAACAGGTGGCAGAATGGCTCAGTTGGTGAGAGCACGTGCTCTTAACAACAAGGTTGCTGGTTCGACTCTCGCATGGGATGGTGAGCTGTGCCCCCCGCCCCCATCCCCAACTAGATTGAAAATGGCAACTGGACTTGGAGCTGATGGGTCCTGGAAATACACAATGTTCCCTTCCCCAATTCCCCAATAAAATAAAATAAAAATTAGGAATGAATAATAGGAGCTACATGACCATAGGCAGGTTGTTTAACTCATCTGGGATGTATTTTCCTCATCTGCAAAGTGAGAAGGTTGAACTATCATAGATCAGCAGGTTTCAAACTTCTTTTCTACGGACTACTTTGCTCAAAGAAAATCTTACTTAGAACTCCAAAACATGAACTACAGCAAGTCAGAGAGGTCTGGCTGAAGGAGGGTACACAGCCTATCATTTACCCACGTCGTCCCACCAATTGCCACCTTCATTAAGGAAGGTCCAAAGGCAACAACACAGGGCCTGTGCGACTCCAAGCTACTTCTCCACTGAGAACACAATTTGTAAGTAGGAAGGTGGTGCTTTCTACACTAACACAGTGGGGTTTTGTTAATAACAATCTCCTGCTGCCAGAAGGATGCTCAGTGACCTCTGTCCCATTAGAAGCACATCCTGGATCTGCGTCCTTCATAACGGGGGAGGAAGCGGTTCATTTGCACAAGTCCACACTAAGCAGGCCAAGTCTGAACTCGCGTTGAGTCGGTAAGAAAGCAGGGTTCTGCACGTTAGGCCCGCGCACACCGCCCTCCCCTGGCAGCCGGACTGCACCTACCAGCGTGTTCCGTGAGCTCGGCGCGATTGCCTGGGTTCTCCCCGTGCTTGGTTGCTGGATTCTCCTCCTCACCTTCAGGGCCTATAATAAAC